TAAAGCTTGCGTTCCTGATTTTCAGCCAAAGTGGCCTGCCTGCACCCCTCACCCCAGAGCGGCACCCTTCTCCCTCCACCAGTTAGCTGACAGCCCAGTATGGGCCTCCCTCCCCCTGCCCAGCCAGCCCAGGGCCACTCATCTGAATCTGCCTTCATGATTCCACCTGCCCACTCAAGTGCTTGATTCTTTTCTCATTGCAAGTTGGATCCTTTGGAACCATGACTTAGTACCTCCAGCTTCTGGGAGGGCGTTCCTGCTGCAGGGGGCCTCCTGCTGCAGGGCATTGTGCACGACATGGCACATTATTCCATGGGGATCTCAACCCCTGTCCCCTTTGCCGGTGTTTGCACTAGGTCAACCCCGTTGTGCTTCTGGCCTTCCAATGCATGTGCCTGTCTTGCTGGGGGCAGGGATGGGAGTGGATGGGGTCGGGTGGTGCAGCAGACCTAGGAAACAGAGTGCTCATGTACCCTCTGTCCCAGTGAGAAGCCCAGATCTTGCCTGATTTACCATCCTGTCTCTTAACTCTCTCAAGAGACCACTCCTCTCCATTTTCACAGCCACTTAGGATTTCTTTGAATTAATCAACAGCCTTGACCACAACCCCGCCCCCCCATCCCTACCCCATTTCTCTGTACTGTAGCCAGAACACTCCCTCTTTGAGAACTCTCCAGTGGCTTTTGCTGTCCCATCGTGAAAGTCCAGACTCCTTAAAGGGACTTGCCAGGCCTCACACATGCTGGGCCCCTGCCCAAGGTTGCCCTGATGGGGCACATGGGCTGTGTGTTTTCTGGGTGCCCTCAGAAGGCATAGGTCTTCTCTCCTGGTCAGCACAGAGCCTGCTGCACATGGGATACACTTTAGTGTGGTACTGCAAGAACTGTGCTGTGTGTACGGTATATCTGCTTTGCCTGTGTAGGTTATACTTCTCTTTCTAGAGTCTTAGACCCTAGTTTTCTCATGTTACTATAGAGGTTTACAGCTGTTCTTTTACTGTGGCTTTTTTTTTTTCTTTTAAAGATTTTATTTATTTATTCATGAGAGACACACACGGAGAGAGGCAGAGACACAGGCAGAGGGAGAAGCAGGCTCCATGCAGGGAGCCCGACCTGGGACTCGATCCCTGATCTCCAGGATCACGCCCTGGGCTGAAGGCAGTGCTAAACCACTGAGCCACCCAGAGATCTGCTACTGTGGCTTTTTTTTGTTTTGTTTTTTGAACATCCTCTGAGTGGAAGTGGGTTGATTTGTTAGCACCCCCTTGGTCTGAATTGGAACCTCCATTTGGAATGTTGTTCCCATGGAGAGAGAAACAAGACCATGGTTTATTGTAGATTGAGCATCTAGAAAGTCGGTGCTTGGGAGGTGCAGCCTGTACTTATCTTACTGTTTAAGGGCATTGTTGGTTACTTTCCCACCTCATTGTTCTCAACCCTGCCCTCTCATTTCTTGGAAGAGAAACCCAAGACACACATGGCAGGTCTTGTCTGGGGCCTCATGACCTCGGTAGAGTCCCCTATGGAAACCTAAGCCTCAGAGCCCCAGTGCCAGGGATCTCTCCCTTACACCACAGATGTTTCTTGTTCTATTTATGCTTCTTGAATGTCGTCGATGTGTGCTGGCCTCAGCCTCCCCTTGTATCCTCTGTGGCTCCCTAGCTTAAGATGCAAGCCAGACTGACCTAAGTGCAGTCCTTGCCATGCAGACTCATTGGCTGTGATCTTGGTCGGGTCCTTTAACATCTGTTTTCTCATCTGTGGAATGATCATCGTGACAGCACCTACCCTGTAGGGTTGCTGTGAGGATTCAGGAAAAAACACATAAAATCCCCAGACATAGCAGGTACTCTATAAATGTTAACTGCAGCCCTGCTGGGATCCTCTCCTTATGTTGCCATTTGCCATTTGCTAGCTGTATGACACCAGAGGAGTTACTTAACTTCTCTGGGCCTCAGGTTCCCGTTTGTAAAATGGGGTTAGTTTAAGTTCCTATCCTGTCGTATTTATCGATAATCCAGAGAGAGGGCTATTGAACATGGCCACAGGAAATGTGCTCAGTAAAGGTCTGCTGCTTCTGTTACTGATTTCTCTAAAAAGTTGCATCAGGGAGGATTCCAGGACCTTATATTATAGTCAACTGCATATTTTCTGAAAAATATATTAAGTAATTTTTCCCCATCAGTATGCATGGTCACTACAAAAAAAGTTAAAATTTATAATGCCATCGAAATGGCAATATTTTTATGGCTATCCTGATTTTTTTCCACTGTGTATTTACTATAAATCAGTCCCTCTTGTCTCCATTGGAATTATATGTATTTTTTAAAAAAATATAACTGGAATAACAATGCACATACTCAAGGTCAACCATGGTTTTTCATCTGTGACTCTGACTTCTGAAGCTGGGATCTCTCAAAGGCCTGGGGATTTTTGGAAGGTCTCTACCTCACAATCTGCAGCCCTAACTGAACATGAAAGGTTACACCTGCCCTCCTGTCGCTGCACGCACGGCAATAATATGTGTCTGACTGGTTAATGCTAGAAAACAAACCACTGGTCCAAGGGTACATCTTATTGGATCAATGGTTAAAGCATGTTAAAGCTTCTTAAAAGGAAGCATGAGGGATCTTTGTGGCGGTGGATACACAAACCTACATGCATAGGTAATAGGATTGTTAGACCTTACTTACTAGTCACAGCGGGTGCACACATGCACACTCAGATGAGCAGGAGTTAATCAGCGAAGATCTGAGTCAGATTCATGGACTGTATCAATGTTAGTGCCCTGGTTGTGATATAATTTTACAAAATGTTACCACCACGGGAACTGGGTGAAGGGTGTAAGGGATCTCTGTATTACTTCTTATATCTGCATGTGATTATCGACACATGATTAATTTTAAAAATTAGCTTAAAAAAATGTGAGTATGATTTCTGATGACTACAATCCTGGAGGAAAAAGCAGCTCTGAATCCTGCTCTCTTTATTATGTTACAGTGATGTGGAGCCAGATTAATTAAAGTCAAGCTGGGTTTTCTTTTTCTCTACAACAGCAGAGGACTCTGTTCTCTAAGTTAGGGGGTAAGAGGTGGACACTAAGCAGGCCCCCTAGTCACAACACCGGTTTCAGCACAGAGGCCTTTTGTTACTGCTGGGGTCTGTTTCTGGTTAATGAGCCAGGCCTGCTGATGGTTGCCTGCGGGGCCAGCAGGCAGGCTGGGGGCCCTTCTGCATCTTTTCCTACAATACTGCTGGAGCACAGTTGTCCAGCATGAAAACTAACTCCTGCAGGGGTGCAGGAATCCTCCCTTAAGGATTTCTCATGACCCCGAGCTGATGAACAATTTACAGCAATTTGAGCTGGACTCCACCTCCATCCAATTAAATTCTGGTTTAAACCAACTCTTGCTTTTCCTGAAGTCAGCCCCACTGGAGGTTGAGGGAACGAAAGTGCTTGAGGCAGTGCGTTTCCTCCCAGCTCCCAGAGAACTGTCGAGTTCAGGAGAGAGCTGGAAGGGGGTTTCAGATTTGGAACCAGATTTCAGGTCTCCTTAAGCTAGAAAATCATTCCAATGGATCGGATTTCTCTGAGCTCATTCACTAGGATGATCTGTACTTGCATTTAATAAAATATTTAGAGACCTATCGGATTCCAGTTACAGCTTGCCATTAGCAAGGCTATGGAGGTTAGCTTAGTTTTTTTTTTTGTTTTTTTTTTTTTAGATCTCATTATTTTATTTTTTTTTAATAAATTAATTTTTTATTGGTGTTCAATTTACCAACATACAGAATAACACCCAGTGCTCATCCCGTCAAGTGCCCCCCTCAGTGCCCATCACCCGTTCATTCCCATCCCCCGCCCTCCTCCCCTTCTACCACCCCTAGTTCGTTTCTAGCTTAGTAATACACTTAATTCTCAACTGCCTTGCTTGGGCTGTTACTGAATGTGGGTCATTGTCAAAGCTGAAGCATGTCTTCACCTCTTAAGGAATTATTTTATAGAGTCTTAGTTATAAAGAGTTACTTAGATGTTACTTATTGCAAAAGTGGCAAGTCTAAAAATGTTTACTGCTTGAGTCCTAAACCCATTTACATTCATTCCTTCCTCTACAGAATAAAACCTATGCTACTTTCTTGGTGTTTGTGGAATTGCAAATCGATTCCTTCTCATTGATTTAAAATAAAACCACCCTGCTATTTTTTTAGCCTAGGACTAAAGTGTTCCTTCATCGCACAACCTTTTTCTCCAACAGGAGAACAAAGGCCCCACATGTCCTAAAGTGGCCTGCACGTAGCCTCTTACGACCACAAGAAATTATATATGTGGTGAAATATCACTCCGTGTGCACACACGCGTGTTTGTGTATGGCAGGAATGGTATCGGTCTTTTTGGTGTTGATTAAAAAGAATCTATGACCCTAGTTTTCATGGTAGAGAAACTGGTTGCATAGCCTTAGAATTTAGGCCATTTGCAGGGGGAGGGGAGGGGCTGCGCCATGATGAAATGATCAGCTGGGATTGCTATTTGCTAACTATACCAATAGCCACTTTCTGAAGGACCCCACTCTGTCCATGTGGTTGGGTCTCTATGGTTAGCAAGAGACCCTGTGATTCTCAACATTCACACAGTGGGGGCCCTGTGGCCGACCCATTTCAGTTTGCTGAGTTTATATGAGGCCAGAACCCCTTCTCCAGTGCCTTGTCCTCAGCGCCACCTCTAAGTGTGCACACAAGTGCATGCACATACACACACACAGAGTCCGAACCTTGCAGGATCCAGAGTTACCCCATCCCTGGAGCCCCCCTGAGGCTCTTCCCTGAAACTTGGAAACGAAATCCAGTGCTGCTCAGCTCACGTGGGTTGAACCTGGCAGAACCAGCGACCCTTTGTGCTCAACATGCAGGCACGACATGAGGGCCGCTTTTTAAGGGGGGGGGGTCATTTGCTTGGCTGGTTTGTGACATCAGGAGTTCATCACCACTTTTTTTTTCTTGCAGTTTTATGTGCTGAAAGAGTTGGCCAGATGACTAAGACATATAATGACATAGATGCTGTCACTCGGCTTCTTGAGGAGGTAAGTGTTTCCGGGGAGGCAGAGAGCCATTTATGATTGACTGGTTATAACCTCTGTTGATTAAAGCATACATTATTGTCTTCTCCGTGAAAAATCCCAAAACGGGGCCCTCCCAGGGTATGGTACCATGGCTTTACTTTTTGAACTGGTAGCTCTCTACAGGTAGTGTAACTTTGTCCAAGGTATGTTAGATTTTAAAAGGAATGTTTTAATGACACAAAATAGGAATATTTGCTAGAAAACCCAGTGTGAGATTTTTCCTTACGTTTAACACTGTATTTTAAGGATATCTGCAAGTGTCAGAAAAATACATCATTAGTCTATCTTTGTAATTTTTTTTAACTTACATGAGGTTAAGGAGAGATTATGCAGCATAGAAATAATCAAAATCACCATGGGGAAAAGATATGAGAAAACTTGCTTAGGATTGGATGAGCTGCTAGTATTTCAAAGACTTTGGTTTTCTCGGTTTCTTCTTAGCATTCTGTTGACAGTTGGGAATCCTGGTCCTGTGCACACCTCTACAGACAGATGAGCACCATGTGTGCACCCCCATGCCTAGAACTTGCCAGAACACAGCAGGTTCTTCTAGGTATATATTGAGTAAGTGCCCATCTCTAAACGTTGTCAGTCCTTGATGGCACCGGTACTTACTTAGACCCTTGTTTCTGCTCTGGAACCAAGATTGACTTTGGATCATGTCACCAGTCACTAGCTCATCTCCAGAACAAGAGTAGAATAATGTGCAAGACACAGAAATCATTGTTGTCATTTTCAGCCAGTGGCAGGACAAGGTTGAAACACAGGACGGAACAGGAGTGGTGGGACCTGGAGTTTCAGGAGACATCTATGTATCCCATTTTTTATGTCTCTCTTTCCCTCTGTTTTTCCCATCTGCATATCCAATATTCTTATATTCTGAGGGCTGGACTCTCTGGATTCTCCCCTGAGTTCCTCAGGGCTCACCTGCCCCAGCACTCTGCTCCTCTCCTTCCCCTATAGCCAGCCCTCCATAGCCAGGTAGAATGTGGGCAAGAGCTGAGACTGCCTGGCCACCTGCATGTCATGGCAGTACCAACAACTCAACCCCAAATAAGTGATGTTAGGTTTTGGGCTGTGTGACAGGGCCATTGTGAGGCATTTTAGGACACAGGCCTTCTGGTGGTACTCTCATTGCTGCCATATGGGCTGGTATTAGGTACTTGGGAGGCTAGCTTGGTTGGCACCACTGACTTTTTTTTTTTTTTTTCAAAATTTTACTTATTCATGAGAGACACAGAGAGAGGTAGAGACATAGGCAGAGAGAGAAGCAGGCTCCCTACTGAGGGTCTGATGCGGGACTTGATCCCAGGACCCCAGAATTGGCCTGAGCCAAAGGCAGACACTCAACCGCTGAGCCACCCAGGTGCCCCTGACACCACTGACTTTTGAAAATGGTTCTTCACAGACCCCTTCCCACTGTGTCCTTTCCCCCAACAGTGCCAGGCTGTCCACATCCTCTAGTACTTCCCTAGTATTTCCAGCATCCACTCCTCACCCCACACTGTTAGTCTGTTAGGTCTTCTGAGAGGGCTACATCTGGACCATTCTTTTCATTCCAAGGTCATTCCACTCCTCTGGTCCCCAGAGCCTCAGCTGTCAGGTTTCTGTTTCTCTCTACAGCTGCCCTCCAACCCAAGCCTGTGGTGACCACTTTGCCCCCCCCCCCCAACACACTTAAAGACACTTAGAAGTCCTCACTGTGGTGTCCAAAGGCACACACTGATCATGTTCTGAAACCTCCTCTAGCTTGTCACCAGGGACCTGCCCCATCTTTCCCTGGCCTTGAGCTCTGTGCTGTTGGGCTCATGGGGACCTTTGAAGCTGACCATCACCACGGCCCCCAATGGTCTGTACCCCCGTGAGCCCCCAACACAGGAGTCATCCTGCAGTTCCCTTTGTCTTGTTCACACAGCTGGATTACCTAGAAGCTTTTCCAAGGCGGGCACCATCTGGGTGGTTTCTTTTCTTACCTTGGAAACGACAGGCCTTTCATAAATGTCTGCAGCTGTTGTCATGCCTGTTATTGAGGGTAGATTTTTACTGAAAGCCATTTGTTGTCCCTGCGTCATCTCATCGGTTCTGTGGTAGCTCTTAGCCAGAAGTGCCACTGCTTGTCCCATTTTCAACGAAGGGACCTGAACCAGAGGACAGAAGATGCCTTCATGGCTGCACAGCTGCTTTCCACCCAGGCTGGTAACTGTGATGCGTATGACACTTGCATTTGGCAATGCATTCACTCCCCTATTTAGGTTTTTTTTTTTTTTAAAGAAAAAAAAACCTTTTTAAAATCTATTTATTCATGAGAGAGAGAGAGAGAGAGAGGCAGAGACACAGGCAGAGGGAGAAGCAGGCTCCATGCAGGGAGCCTGACATGGGTCTCAATCCGGGGACTCCAGGATCATGTCCTGGGCTGAAGGTGGCACTAAACCGGTGAGCCACCTGGGCTGCTCTTCTTATTTAGTTTTGGAGAGAATGGCCTGTTGGTTGTCGGAGGGACATTTTTACTTTAAAAGCACAAACCAGATAATGTTTTTTTTATGAGATGCTGCCTCCACTGCCCCCAGTTCTTGGCTTCTGCTGGGGTGGAACTGGCAGGATCTGGTGATCCCTCCACAGGCCAAGACCTGTCTCTGCTTGGAAGTCTGAGGATTGCTCCTGAAGGATCTTGGGATTGTAGCCCTTCGTGCAGATACTAGGTGTCCGTAGTCCTCCCCTCACCACCCAGCCCCCCCACCCCCGCAATCTCCCAAGCAAGTGTCATGCCGCAGAAAGCATGCAGTCATCTTTTTTAAAAAACTGAGCTGTTGGAAAGAATATTTGTGGGACACTTTCTTCAGGTGGTTTTGTTGTGCCTTCTTTGTTCTCTTTATTTTTAGCAGCTCACCTTCGCTGTAGTCTGTGTGTATCTGTGTTTTATCTATAATGCCATTCTTCTTGTCCTGATAAGGACCACCTCTGAGTCACTGCCTTTCTTAGGAACTAGGCGGATTCCCGGTTAAAGTTTAACTGCTTTGGTCACGTGTCATTGTACGTGCTCTGTTTTGCTTGGCTTGGCTTTGGTTCCTAGGCCTGCCACACGCAGGCTGGGCGCTGGGGAGATGTGCACAGGATGCCAAAGCCCAGGGCCAGCGGGGAACTTTTTGCTTCTGCCTTTCAGGGGAAGCCGATGCTGCAGCTTGCCTTGGCTTCCTGCCTTTGGATTTACCTTTGGGCAGAGCTTGCCTCACCCAGCCCACGCCCCAGTTTGGAGAGGGTTGTTCCAGAGGGCCCCTTAGTCATGCTTTTTATCCTGAGATTGGTGAATGAGATGAGTCAGCCATGAAGTGGGAGGCTTGCTGCTCTGCATCTCGGAGGGCTGTGTCAGACAGCACAAGTGCCACTGGCAAAAGAGAACACAGACAGGAAGAGGGAGCGAGCAACTGGAACGAGCTCCATCCACCTGGCCACATTTCCCCGAGGAATGAGGGAACCAGCTCTTTTAATAGTTCATTTCCAAGGGCCTAAATTATTTGTGATCTCTCATTCCCACTGTAGTTCAACCCGGGGGTCATTTCCTAGCTGTTTTCCTGTTTTTAGTAGTAAACACTTTTCATATGTTGGCTGGTTGTAGCAATTGGGAATGTTTTCATTCCTGTAATCCTCCAGGAGAAAACCAACCTGTCTGTCCTCTTAGTAAAGAAAAACCAGAGCCACTACAATAAGTTTTTAGTTATTGTAACTTGTAGCTGAACTATTTTTAGATGACTTTTAAGTAATCTCCACACCCACAAGCCATTCGAACCCACAACCCTGAGATCAAGAGTCACATGCTCTACTGACTGAGCCAGCCAAATGCCCCCTCTTCGATAACTTTTAGACACCATGTAACTTGTTTAATTTTTTTCATTTCATTCATAAATATTTTTACTAGAAGTTCTTGCTCCCCCCCCCCCCAGTAGAGAGGTTTTGTTTATATTACTATAAAGATGAGGTTTTTGGTGTAGATGAGGTGAGAGCTGCCCCACCATGGGGCAGGGATGTTGAGGAGCCCCCAGGTGTGAGGTTTGGGGTGTCATGGGGAAGGTGAGGGGCTTCACTGAGTGCACAGCCCATTGGTTTTTCTCCCCCTGCCCGTTGCTCTTGGGTTCTGGCCTCTATGTGCTATGGGAAGTCTTCACCATCCTTCGGGTGCTCCAGCTGGCCTCACCCAGCAGGCTTTCATAATTATAATTTTTGCTTGGTTTGTTTGCCGTGGAGTCTGCGCACAGAATGTAGTAGCTAAGGCATACAGAATGTCTGTGCTCGTTGGAACTTAATATGATGCATGTCATGATGGATGCGTGATGGCAGTGGAGAACAGTGAAGCCTATGACATTAAGCACTTGCTGGGTATTCAACCTGAGAATTTGTTCTGGTAGAGAGATTTCATTGACTTGAGTTAGGTTTGTGGAGACCACTTCCAAAGAGAAATGGACACTGGTATTGCAGTTTTAATTGAGTGTTAGCCAGCCGAAACTATTTGAACAAGATGCTAATTTTAAGTCGGCCTGGAGAGAGGTTCCCTCCCACAATTCCTTTGGGTCCTTTCCTCCGTGTACCAAGTAAGCACACATGTTGAGTCTCAGAAGTGATAAAGAGCCACTGAGCTGAATGAAAACCCTCCTTGGAAGACACTAACCAGGAGGGATGAGTACACAGAGATGAGCATCTCAGTTCACTGGGCAGTCACTGTTCCCCTTTGTTCCTTGGCAGGCATACAAGGAGGCACACATTATGGAAATAAGTTGGAAGTATTTGTGGCTCCCATGCTGTGACACCTGGCTTGCTTCTGGGACAGCAGTGGGAGAAGTGACGGGTTTCGGAATTGTGGGAAACTGAGGGAAGTGACCATTATCCCACGCGTGGGACAGAGTGCCAGATTCCTGAAATCCAGAGTCTTCTCAGGCTGTACTTAGACCTTCACTGCTCAGCTCATATGTCAGTGAAACTCTTGGATAAGCAAGGGAAGATGTGCTGCTAGTGCACGGAATCATTTGGTAGATATATAAGAAGTTAGAAATAAAAACTGCCATTTAAAAAAAATCTCATACAATTCTGAATCATAATGCTAGAAGATTTTTTCAAGGATAGCCCAGCCAGTCTGCCCCACCACCCCTCTCCATCTAACAGATGAGACAACTGGGTCCCAGGGATATTCAGTCAGACCCTGATCTCACAGGTCTGGAGTTGAAGGGTTTGCCTGGAGCAGGTCAACCTTTGAGTGATACCCACTGTAAGAAACGCATCTCAGGTTGTGACTCAGTACTCAAATAAATATATGACAAGCCAGAGCATAAACGTGAACTGATGCCCTTATTATGTGGAATGCACGTCGGTATTTCAATTTAGTGCTGTTGAATTTCATTTGAAACAAAATATCAGTTGCCTTTACAAAAATGATTCTCAACCTACTGATGGTTTATACCCTATGTTTGGAAAAAGCTAACCTGGAGTGTGTGTACCTAATCCTTGTTAAGTGGAAGCCATTGGCCCAAGGCTTGTTAGTTAGTAGCTGGTCTGAAGCTAAGACTCCTCCCCAGCCTTTTTCCTGCTCTAAACTACATGTTCCCATTTGCCTGCTTTTTACACCAGCTGGACAGAATAATTAGCAGAAGCTTCTCAAATGATTTAGTTTTCCAGAGTTCTCCCCTTGCTAAATCCCTACAAGGGAGCAAGTTGAATCTAACCACAGTGGCAAACAGTCTCTCAGGCATGGGTGAGTCTGCATTTGGTGATGGCATCTGTCCTGCTGTCTGCACTGTCAAGGAACATCTTTCCTCTCATAGAGGCAATTGTACCTTTATTTATTTATATTTATTTTTTTAAATATTTTACTTATTTATTTACAAAAGACATAGAGAGAGGCAGAGACATAGCCAGAGGGAGAAGCAGGCTCCCTGTGGGGAGTCTGATGTGGGACTTGATCCCAGGACCCTGGGATCACGCCCTGAGCTGAAGGCAGTTGCTCAACTGCTGAACCACCCAGGCATCCCTATTTATTTATTTTTTAAAAAGATTTGTGTATTTATTTTAGATACACACAAGCAGAGGGGGAGTGGCAGAGGGAGAGGGAGAGAATCTCAAGCAGTCTCCCTGCTGAGCATGGAGCCCAACACTGGGCTCAGCCTCATGACCCTGAGATCATGACCTCAGCCAAAATCAGGATTTGGTTGCCCAACTGACTGAACCACCCAGGCGCCCCAGCAGCTGTACCTTTTATATGCCACTAACGATCTTCCTTTGTGTACCACTCTGCTATGTATAAGTGATGTCATCAGCTGAACTAACAGAAACTTCTGTTTTTAACACAGTCTTTGTCTCTGAAGTAGGGCAATTTTATGCATTATCTCCATTTTGAAAGTATTTAAAAAAATTTTTTTAAGTTTGTTATTATTTTTAGTAATCTCTACCCACACATAGGGCTCAACCCCACGACCCTGCGATCAAAAGTTGCATGTTCCTCCCACTGAGCCAGCCAGGCACCACTTGAAAGTATTATTTTTAAAGTAAATCTCAGTAGGGGCACCTGCGTGGCTCAGCCAGTTGAGCATCCAACTCTTGGTTTCGGCTCAGGTCATTAGAATCGAGCCCCCTGTTGGGCTCCATGCTCAGTGGGTGTCTGCTTCAGATTCTCTCTCTCTCTCCCTTGGATCCTCCCACTGATGCTCTTTTTCTACCAAATAAATCTTAAAATAATAATGATAAAAATAAACCCAAATAGCCTCCATTGAGTAAAAGAAACATGCTCTTGTATTTCAGAGTAACTTTATGTTTTTGTTTCATATGAAGTAAATATAGGGAGCTCAGTAAATTCCTGCTTCATATGTTCTAAGAAGCCTGCCTCCCTGCGTCAGCTCTTGGCTCTATTGCAAAAGCATTGTGAAATTTCTGTGCTCGCTCATTCAACCGGCAAGCAGTTAACTGAGTATTTCCACGTGCCAGGCCCTGGCAATACAATAGCCCAGTGCTCAGGTGGACAGATTATCAAGTGATTTCACAGATGCCAAAAGCAACTACAGAGAAATGCTTTGGAAAGCATGTTTCTCCCATAGGAACAGAGACTTGTTTTCATTGGATTTAAAGGTTGCCTCCCATTGCCTGAGGTCTGCGTAGCTCTACATTACGTGGGCAGAGCGTTCCCCTTCTCTGAACAGGTATCAAAGGTGGGTGCATGGATGGTGAATTGTTAATACCTTTGTTATTTCTAAATGCCCTGTTTTCCTCAGTTGACACTGAGCACTCTTGGCTCCTTCAGGAAACACAGGTGTTTTGAATGTCTATTCTCCCTTTTGCCTTTCATAGAAAGAGCGGGATTTAGAACTGGCTGCTCGGATTGGCCAGTCGTTGTTGAAGAAGAACAAGACCCTAACTGAGAGGAACGAGCTGCTGGAGGAGCAAGTGGAACACATCAGGGAGGAGGTGAGGAGCTGGTGGCAGTGGCCACAGCCGGGTGGGCTTGGGCTCAGCCGCCAGAGCTGCTCTTCCGGGACGGCTGCTTCTTCTGTCCATGACCCTCTTTCCAGCAGTGTAGACAGCACCAGCTGGGGTAGGAACAGCCTTCACCTGCTCATGAGGCCATGAGTGTCCAGTCCTACCAGGCCTGGACCAGCCCCAGTCCCCATCCCCCCAGAGTCCAGAGCCTCACAGAGACTGGGAGAGACTGAGCATGTGGAAGGAGCACACGCAGGCTAAGATGGCAGTGAGCAGGTGTTCCTGGGGCAGGTGGGCACAGGCAGGCCAGAGGGGGGCCCTGTCAGGAGGAGGCCAGCCTGTGCTGCAGAGTAGGGCAGCGGCTGCACATTCTTCATTCCAATATAATTTTATGTTTGTAAAACAAAACAAAAAAATAGGCTACCGTTGTCCTACAGGAGACCTGTTATTTTCATGATACAGATCTTGGCTGAAGGGCACCGGTGATCAGGGGGTGGGGTCTGAATGCTTAGGTCTTATCTTAAGGGGCTGAGGTTTCAGAGGAGCAACACTGACTTTCTGGAAGGTTGTGGTTATGGGCAGGATGAGGAAGGCTCTGCAGAGATGGAGGGGTCGCGATACAAGGCTTAGCAGTTAGAGCCAGGCCCTCCTTTGTAACTTTTTTCCCATCATCCTATTCTTGTAACTGCAAATTTTAGCTGTGAGGATCTTCACTTGACTTTCTTCTTCTCCTGGTTTTTTCTCCCTTATTTTCTACCAGAAACTTTCTAAGTGGGAGGGGATACCCTTACTCTTGTCTCTTAGATATATTCAAACTTTCCCCCTTAAAGCTGTTCCCAGCCATCGTGTCTGGGTTTAATAATGGTTTTAATATTGATGAAACAGGGTTGCCAATGTATAAGAAAAGTTTTAATCCTGGGCTTCCTTTGAAAGATGATACAATAGAATATGGTTGAGTTTTGGAGAAGTCAACCCCTGTTTCCCTTGTCCCCAGCATCATGACCTGACTTTCCCTTCTCTCAGGCATTAGAGTGCGCCAGGTCAACCTAGTTTTCTGAGCAGAGAAACATGCCACCTGGGAACCAGTAAACGGTCACCCGTTGTCTGTCACATGCTTTTCCTCTACATTAGTGCCCTTGTGTGGGGCTTCCTCACCTCCTACAAACAGCACCCAAATCTTTGGAAGTGGAAATGCCTCTTTTTTCTTGGAAAAGCTTTGAAATTAGAAACTGTAATATGTTCCCCTTGAGCCCATAATGACACACATCATTAAACTGTCAGTCTAGATGTTGAAACTAAAGCTTTTGTGCAGATAAAATTTTCTTCTCTGTGGAAGTCATAAATACTGTGTTGTGTAGGAAAGCTGGAATAAACCATAGACCCCAAATCAAATTAGAGGCAAAGAATTAAATTGTAATTCTCGCTCACAGCACTAGTTCTTTGTTCATCAGTTGTGAGTGGTGAAAGGGAAGTGAAAAATTTTATGGCATAGGTTTGTTTGCTTAAGATGTTAAGCATAAATAAGGCATTTTGCAAAAACTGACCTAGCAGTATCAGTCTGGCCACTTCCTGATGACTGTGTCCTTTCTCCCTATGTCTGAAATTGCTATCTTGTGATCACTGAGTACAGAGCAGAGTCTGGCCAGGCTTGGCTCAGAGCCCTGTGAGGGTGTAGCAGTCACAGGGTGAGGCTGTGAGTGTGCCGAGTGTGCCAGCAAGGGTGGATGAGCTGCTTGTAGCTGCCCACCCAGAGCTGGCATTGCCAGGGGCCCGGTCCAGGGTGGCATTTGGTTTCAGCAGAAGTCAATGGCCTCTTCTTTCATTTGATAACAGGATCTTTTTCTCTGGCCATTTGCCCAGCTGGTCATCTGGCTACTTGCAAAGCCCATATGCTATATTGTCTTGCCCTCCTCCCCACCCAACATCATTCTAGAGCCTTCTAGTCTCCTCTCACCTCCTCTCTGAACCCAAGTAAAAACCATAAATTTAGGCAATCAAAACATAGTTGACTGTGTTTTTCTTAAATGTGATCAAATGTAGCCTCTTATCCTTGAAAAGCACAAAAATCAATTACATGGCTTTACTTTTGGTGAGGAATTCAACAAACATTGTCACCCAGCAGCACATGTTTGAGCATGATGGAGGGGCCCCTTGCTGTGTCTGTACAGGTATCTCAGCTCCGGCACGAGCTGTCCATGAAGGATGAGCTGCTCCAGTTCTATACCAGCGCCGCAGAGGAGAGCGAGCCTGAGTCCGTGTGCTCCACCCCGTAAGTCTCCAGAGGGCCATGTCACTGGGGCCAGGACACAGGCAGCTGGCTGTCATCCATGTCCTTGGAGTTACCTAGGCAGGGCTACATCACCAGCAGTAGGTCCACTGCTCCCAGCCTTCCCCAGACCCAGCAAGTCCACAGGCCTCAAATTAATTGTACTGTTGTAGCAGGACATGGGAGGACAGGGTTGTTCATCAATTTCGGTTGCTCCGGCCTGGTCACTGGGCACAGGGTGGGCCCTGCAGTGAGAGGGTCATATTGGGTTCTGGAGCCAGAGGTGCCATGGTGGACCCTTGGACAGAAGGTGTGGGGGACTTCTCTGAGAGTCAGTGGAGCCTCACTTTAGGAGCATGAACTCGAGAGCCCAGTGGCCTGAGTTCAGACTGTTGCTCTGCGGTTTCCTAGCTGTGTTCTCTTGACTACATTACTTAACCACTCTGTGCTTGTTTGCTTATTTGTAAAATGGGACTACTGCTAGTCCTTTGTTCACAGGATTATGAGCATTAATTGCCTTAATCCCTGTAGAGTACTGAAAACTGTTCTGGGCACATAGGATGGCAGTGCAAATATTAAATAAATTTCTAGGCCTCTGGAAGTGTGTGTATTCAAGTAGTTGCTTCTGCTGAATTGTGAGGCCATGTGGCGACTGCAGATCCTGAGTGGTGGTGAGGCTGTGTGCTGCCCCTGCTCTCCTGGGGGCCCCTTTTGCACCTGCGGGTTTCATGGTCCCTCCAAAGGGCAAAGGCCCTTTGTGCTTCCCTGGGTTTGCTGGAGGCAGGGAGCTAATGTCTCTCCCTAGAACGAGATTGTACTCTCTCCCCCAGACTGAAGAGGAATGAGTCATCGTCCTCAGTGCAGAATTACTTTCATCTGGATTCTCTTCAGAAGAAGCTCAAGGACCTTGAAGAGGAGAACGTGGTACTCCGGTCGGAGGTGAAGTGCGCTCCCTGCCTTTGTACCCTCTGGAGGGTGGTGGGCCCCTTTGCCTTATCTGGCAGCAGGGGCTGTGCCTGCAGCGTCATTCCTGAGGGTGACTGTGGGGGAGCCACCTGTGTGGTGCTCATAGCCTCACTCATGTGCTGGGCAGTGGCTTCTGGGGAGCACAGATGCTCCCTGTCAGTGGGGGATGGGTGGGGCTGAGGACTCAGGGATCCTCTGTGTGAGTAGGCAACTGTGGCCAGGCCCTCCCCGTCCTCCTGCTCACAGCAGGGCTCTGTGGGTGGGGTCTCTCCATGGAAATGACATGGAAGCAGGTTGCTGCCGGTCAGATCTGTTCTAAGGGATAGTACGTGACGACTTGGAGACATAATTCTTAGACAATTAACTTAAAAAGATAGTTGAGACAACTTGGCAACTCATGCTTTTGAGTATTTCTGACTGGCTAGTCACTGTGCCAGATGCTTACCTGTGTTTATTTTTTTAAGATTTATTCATTTGAAAGACAGAGAATATGAGTGAGGGGAGGGAGAAGCAGACTCCCCACTGGCCAGGGAGCCTGACTTGGGTCTTGATCCCAGGACTCCGTGATCACAACCTGAGCCAAAGGCAGATGCTTAACTGACTGAGCCACCCAGGCACCCCTGCCTGTGTTCGGTTTGTTTGTTTTTTCAAATTTTGCAGCAAGGCTGGAAGTCCGTTACTTTGCTTGTCATTTATAGTGAGGAAGCCAGGACCCAGGCTGCTAGGTGTTTGATTTGCCAGCATGGCACAAGTTAGGGAATGACAAAGCTGGGATTTGCAAGGCTCTGGGACTCTGACCCCCATGTTACTTCCCTTCACCCGCTGCCCCTACCTAGAAACACCGACGCATGCAAGTTTAGTACTTTTTGTCTTGTCAGTGAGTTGATGCTCTCCAGCCAGAGGTATGCTTTAAGTTTGGACTGCCCACCCACCCGAGCTGGCCCAGGGCTCCCTCAAGCCCCTGTAGTAAGGCAGACCACCTTGAATTTGCCCCCAAGGTGGAAAGAACCTCATGTCTGGGCTTATCAGGGCTGTGCACAAGGGAAGGGTCATGTTCTTAGACCTTACCTCTTCTAGTCCTCATTGACTAGTGGGCAGCACAAACCCAGAGCCACCAAGAGGGTTGTCCAGGCTTTCTCTGCCAGCCAGTGGCCAAGTCAAGAGTCCTGGCCAGAGCTTTCCATTCCACTGTCTACCTCAGGTAAATGCACTAGTCCTAGATATGCAGTAATTTGTCCCCCTGTCAGAGGGTTCACCTAAAGCACGTGGAAGGAACCTGATTCCAGCAACAGATTCCACATCAGTTTTCAGGAGTGTAGTGTCTCCCGGGGCCAGGGCCTGAGGGCTCAGAGATACCCCTTCTCTGCCTTGGATACTCTTTTCTTTCCTTTTTTTTTAAAAAAGATTTTATTCATTCATGAGAGACAGAAAGAGGCAGAGACATAGGCAGAGGGAGACTGATTTTGGACTCAATCCCAGAATCCTGGGATCACAACCTGAGCCAATGGCAGACACTCAACCACTGAGCCACCCAGGTGTCCCTCGGATATTTTCTTCTTTGGATCTCTATTTTCCAACCTTGTCAGCTGGCTATCCAGAGTCCTGAGATAGCTCTTGGGATTCTGGATTTTAATGCTTTTGTCTTGTACCTTGTCTTTGCTAAGTGAATACAGTAGACCTAACTCTGACTCAGACCTCCTAGGACGGTAGTGCCTTGCATAAAGCAGGTACATGATAAGTGTTAGCTATTCCTGTGGTCATCCTTAGAATGCCTGTGGTTGGAAGAGCTGAGTCTTAGACCCGCTGGGGTCACAAAGGTCCATGTCTATGAGCTGGGACAGACACCAGTAGACACGAGGGTGGCACTTGCAGAACGCGTATCCCCTTGTGTGGCGCCCTCTGGTGGTACACATTTTTCAGCTCTTTGGCTTTGAGGATTGGTGATTCCTTACCTGAGCAGGGCATTCTGATGAGCTTCCTGTATTTGAGGGTGTAATGGATGGCGGGTAGGGGAGGGGGAGGACGGAAGGCAGCTTCCTGGACTCCAGTTTATCCTTGCCCCAGGCCCCAAGCCTTGCCCACCCTACCCGTTCAGGTGTGAATGTGGGGCCTCTGACCTGAGCCTTGTCCACAGGCCTGCCAGCTGAAGACGGAGACCATTACCTACGAAGAGAAGGAACAGCAGCTGGTCAACGACTGCGTGAAGGAGCTGAGTATGTCCTGGTCCTCTTGCTCCACCCTCACCGCCTCTTTTTACTTTCTGCCATCTTGTGAACAGATTTGTATGCAGTGCAGTCTCCCTGGTGGCTTGGACTCCGTAGCACTTTTTCTGAAAACTAGAGTTTTCTCCTGACCTTGCGTGGCAGCCCTCACTCTGACTCGTGAGAAATTGGGTGCTAGGTTGTCAGCCATGTGTGTTGTCCTAATTTCTCACCGAGATGGACAGTTAATTTTGATTTCGGCTTTCTACTGGAATACCGGAGTTATGTGACGCCCAAGTTAAGCCCAGTTATAGAGTTCTCATGTCCCTGTGCAAAAACTAATCAATTATGGTTTCTCGTAACTGACATGTGAAGGTTGAGGCCAGAGTTCTCCGCTTTGCAGACAAGTACCTTTCCCACCTTCTCCATCATCAGTTTACAAGTTAAGACAAAAGGGCAGACACTATTTTGAGTTTCAGCAAGGCACTTAATAAATGAAACACACCCTGTGTTCCAATCTAGTAAAATGAGTTATGACCCTGAATATGGGTTGAAAACACCCAAGGGAATTATACTGTGCAGGTAGCAGTTCCTTCTAGAACAGGGCGCAGCAGGGATTCCTGTTAATGATGTGGATCTGCTCATGCATGACTGTGCGGATTGGGGCACCTTTGTGTGGTGTGGTATCTCCCAACTGACGCCCAAAACTTACCTGACTTCCTCTAAGAGAAGTGGCCTTCTTCCGTGGGGTTGGGCTCCCCACACTGGGCCTGGGAGCCACACCTGGGGGCCTGCTCTTTCTCTTGACAGAGCCCATACAGGAAAACGGAGGCTGTTCCTTCTTCACTCTCCGCTCTCCACTCCTCCCCCTGCCTGGTAAAAAAGATACTTTTTCTTGTGCAAATCACAAAGAAACCATTCTCTTTGGGTCTAACTTCCTCTTGTCATTTCTTGGTTAAAGGGGATGCCAATGTGCAGATTGCCAGTATCTCAGAGGAGCTGGCTAAGAAGACCGAAGATGCTGCCCGCCAGCAAGAGGAGATCACACACCTGCTGTCGCAGATAGTTGACTTGCAGAAGAAGGCAAAAGCTGTAAGGCTTCTGTTTCTTGGGTTGATGCAGTTGGCATTTGCCCCTGAAGACTGTGCCCTTTGGTTTCATAGTTTAGGAGTTTGTCCTGCCCCTTTGGAGAAAAGGCTTATTAGCAAAATCAATAGAATAGAGCTCATTGCCCTGAACTGGAGAGGGATCATATAACCACTGATCTCCTAAAAATAATCTGCACATTAATAGAATTCGTTAAGAAAGGTGCTGAGCTACAGAGTTCTGAAGTTTAACTCATGAATTTTCTGGTCTAGGATTTGTTTTTACACAGTGTACCTAGTGTGTTCTGCTGCAGAATAATTTCCCCTTTAGATTTAAGATGGAGCAGCAGGAAAACAACAACAAAACAGAATTTAGGTTCCCATGTCAGGCCTTTGCTAGAAGCATGAGGTGAAGTGTGCCTGGGGCGGGGCCGTGCCTATTGGAGGCGGGCATAGGGCGGGGATACAGAATGGACACAGATGTAGGAAAGGCTGCCTTCAAAATTACATAAAAGGCAAAATTTTACTCTGGCCTAAAAGTCTCATCATGGAGGTGTGGTAGGATCGGAACAGATCAGTAGTGAGAGGAAAGCAGTGAGATGTCTCTAAGTATCTTAAAAGAGAAGCTGAGTGGCCTTTGCCATGTTGCAGTGCGCGGTGGAAAATGAAGAGCTGGTCCAGCACCTGGGGGCTGCTAAGGATGCCCAGCGGCAGCTCACGGCCGAGGTGAGTGGCTCCTCTCATCCCACTTTCACCAGGCCCTTCCCAGTTCGGGCCATCAGCCTCCCTCTGCTGGGCGCCGCTCTCAGGGTCATGTCCACCTCACTAGCTGTTTTTAATTCTGAATCAAAAGTCATTCTTACTCGTAAATTCCTGGGAGGCCGGGCCCTGCACAGCCCGCCTCCTGCTAAATGTCCAGTAAGTGAAATGGCCAGGGTTCACCGTAGGAAGGAGCCCACGCAGAGATGTGGCTGGAGATGAGGGTGTGACACTTTGCTCTCCCATTCACATCAAGTTGCTTTTTTTTTTTTAATTATTTTTTTCTTTGAGTATCATTGGCACACAGTGTTACATTAGTTTTAGGTGTATAAGTAGTGATTTGACGTCTCTATACGCTATGCTGTGCTCACCACAGTGCAGCCACATCTGTCAGCATACTACTGTCACTGTACCATTGGTCTTTCATCCCCATGATTTACACATTCCGTAACTGGAAGCCTATTTCCTCAGTTGCCCATTGTTAGAATTTGGGAGGTTTCTGAGGCTATAAGCACTGAGCCTCGAGTATTCTTCGGTGTCAACCTGGAGGCACAGGGCTCCTGACCGGCCCCTGACCCTGTGTGCCTTTCTGGTGTTCCGCAGCTGCGTGAGCTGGAGGACAAGTATGCAGAGTGCATGGAGATGCTTCACGAGGCGCAGGAGGAGCTCAAGAACCTCCGCAACAAGACCATGCCCAATACCACATCCCGGCGCTACCACTCGCTGGGCCTGTTCCCCATGGTGAGTGCCCACTTGCTTCGTGCCCTGTGCCCCCGCTTCCAGCCCATGGGGCCTGATAGGGAGGTGGGGTCTGGAGGGGAGTCTTTGTGGGTGGCTTCTCATTCTGCGCCTTAGATCTAGATCTGAGTCAGGGGCTTGTATGCCCAGCTGGTGGCTCTGTGACTACATGAGGTAGATCGATGCCTCCTCTGCCATCCCTCTGACTCAGTCCATTTTTTTTTCTCCTCGTATCCTTAATTGGTAAACTTAGTAGGAACCTCAGATACTTGGAGGATGTTATTCATACATTATTATTTTTCTGACCTTATGAGACTACGAGCTATTTTGGCTTCACAGTGCATTCTAGAATTCTTAAATTGCCCATACAGTTCTGCTGGTTCTTTCTAGTCTTAGTAATCATCTTCTTGGGGGCTTTCAATATCTGTGATCTGAAAAAATCTCTCTCTCCACAAAGAGTGGTGTTTCTATTTCTACAAAATGATTTCCCTGCACTCTTATTTCTTAGCTCTGGCCTGATGTATTGCATGCTTGGGCCTTAAGGAAACATGGTTGAGAAGGGGATCTTCCAGGTGAGCTCTCCCTGCTGGAGGTTCGCAGCACAGGGCAGGCCTGCTCTGCTGGTCTTTTCCCCCTGGCATTTGCTGAGCTTCCTCGTTGCATCTTCTCCTATCCAACAGAAGCTCCCTGAAGGCGGGGACCATGTCTTATTTGCTACTTTCGTCCTTCCCTCTCTGTAATACTCTATCTACTCGGTGCTTGTTGTGTCACAGAATTATACCTACTCAGTAGGTACGAGATTTGGATGGGTGGACAGACGGAAGAACATAAGACCAAGAACTTTTATATTGAGCCTCTGTTTCTGTGGTTTCTTGAAACACCAAATCCTCCTTGAGGAGACAAGAACTTTTGAGAGAAGCATTCCCAAATGAGATATGAGTGGATGGTGGCTCCAATTTCTAAAACTCTGTTCCTTTGGACTTTGGTCTTGCTGTAGGGCTCTTTCCTCTCATCCTTCTCCCCACCCCTGTTGCTGACACTGCCCTGCCCCTTCCACCCTGACCCTTGTTTTCTGGTTCACTTTTTCTAAATCATGATCTCCTTTCCTTTTATATATCAAAATCAGGCTAGAACAATCTCTCTCTCTCAACTTGATTGAAACCTAGTGAAACCAAAACGAAAGATACATTAACATAGCCTTCCAAGGAACAGATTGGTGATCCAGTATGTTCAGAAATCCCAGCAAAGGCAGCAAAGAACATTCTGTGCCCCTGATTCCTCGATCTGGAGCCCATGACATGCAGCTCACAGACTGGCCTATGTAGCGATGTATGCTTTCTGCCTCAGTTTACCTACTTCCTGGCTTCCCATCTTGGTGTGGTGGCCTCCTTGGGGCATCTTATTTCCCGTGCACTTAGGATTCACTCCACTGCATTCCCCACTCTCAGGGACAGACCTGTTTAAAACAAAACCATGACACAGAAAAGCCAAACTGAAAATCTACATTTGGGTTTCTTCTGCAGATTCTCAGCTTTCGTATTTGCTGAGATGAAGCTTTTGCTTGCCTTTTTCTGTAGCTGTTGGCATGGTTCAGATTTTGAAGATGGCTATTTTTAAAGTACACTATGTATTAAAGGTATTTAAGGCACCCTGAGTGGTGCTGTGCCCATGTTTGTGGAGCAGAACGCCCAAATCTGCTGCTCCTGCTCCCAGCCTTTGTAATTGCTGAATCAAACCGTGAGTAACAGTTTCTGCCCGAGGAGTACATTCCCAGCTCTCTTGCCGATGGCAAGAGTTCCTAATCTGGGATCCTCAGACAGGGTTCAGGGGACCCATGAATTTAAGGGAAGTCACACCTTTTATTTTAATCCCTCATACACAATGTTACAGTGTTTCCTTCTCATATGAAGGTGGGCCACAAGCCACAGCATTATTAGCACCCCTGTGACTTTGTCACCATCTAAAATCACAGCTGCTTTCATGGCACGTTTTCAGTTGTAAGATATCTCAAAATCCCATTTGTGCTAAGCTTCTCTTCAAGGTGGCAGTAATTACCAGGCCTGAAGCCAGACCCTGTGTGTTACTCCATCATGATTGTTGTTATTAGTCTAGTGACTAGTTCAGTCTATCTGGCTTCCTTTCGGTCCTAATTATTTTATTCAGTTAAAAATACTATTCTGAGAAGAGGCCCATGGCTTTCCCAGACTCCTAGGATGCTCAGGGCCAAAAAAAAGTCATGGAGCCAGCCTGCAACTTTCTCCCAGCATAGCCTTGAAGTTAGTAGTTTGGTATGTCATCTCTCCTACGTTTCCTCATGCAGAATTCCGAATGTAAACTATATGGTGAATTAGGGTATGAAGAAAAGTTAAACCAGCTTCAGAAGAGCTCACCCAAGGAACCCTCTTACAACATGGGTGATGTTGAATGGCAGTCTCTGGGTAAAATTCATAAAATAAAACTGCATATTTAGAAATAGGAGTTGAAAAGAAGCCCACAAAACCTTCCTGGACTCAGCTTCTTGCCTGCTCCTGTCATGTGTCCCCACCTGGTTCCAGCTTTCAGACTGGAGCATTGTTCTTTGACCGTTGGGCCATGGAGGGGGATGCTCTGGAGTTCCCTTGGTCTGGCTGCTGGGAAGCTGTTGGCCATGGGTGGCTATGTAAATTTAAGTCCGTTAAAATTAGTTCAGGTTAATTCAGGTTCTCAGTCACACTGGCCATGTTTCAAGTGCTTGCTTGGGGCCTATGGCTCCCACAGCAGGACAGTGCAGAAAGAGCATTCCTATCATCACAGGAGGTCTCTTTAATTAGCACAGAGTTAGCCCTTCCCTCAGGCTGTCCTGAGTAGCGTCCTCCTCTGAGGCCCCAACAGGTGCTTTTCTGCACACATCTGGTCTTCCTGCTGGCATTGACCTGTGTCTGTGTGTGGGATTGCTTGTTAGGCTCTACCTCAAGGAGAGGTGAGGAGTGGTGGGTCATTGAGGGAGCGGGGCACCCATCAGGCAGCCAAAATTGGTGAGTCTCAGCTTGGGCCTTCCCCTAACCCACAAAATCCACGACCTAGCTGGAGAAAGATTTAAGTGAGCTAACTGTGTGGGGACTTCATGTGTTTGGTGTCTTTCTTGGGGGAGGAATGGAGGATTAATAGTGGGAACTACTGATAGTAGTAAGAGTAGTGGATTTGTAGAGGTGTGGGCTGGCTACTAAAGGTGGGTAGGCAATGGGTCAGTGGGAAGAGGAGCTTTTCTTGCAGGGGACTGCGGGGCACGAGGACAGAGGCTTGGATGATAGTGCTCACAACAGAGGTCTCCTCCTCCATAAAGTCCCCGCCTCTCCTTATGGGTAGAGTCACAGCTCTATGGTAAGGCCAAGGGACATGACGTTGCTCTCAGACCCTTAGCTGCCTGGGAGTATAGGGGCTTTACTCTCAGTGCCCACTAGGGATGGCTCCATTCAGAATCTGCCATGGGGATTGCGTGGCAGGGGTTCCAACAGTGACGAATGTTGTCAGCCTGGTGTCATGGGTAGTTTGCAGGCTTCTGAGAACCTCAGTTGACATTCCTATGGCTAGTCAGCCGTGAGCCTCTGTTAGAGACTTGAATTGCTGTTCACCCAGTGTGTTTTCTGGCTTTTCTCAGGACTCCTTGGCAGCAGAGATTGAGGGAACGATGCGCAAAGAACTGCAGCTGGAAGAGCCTGAGTCTCCAGATATCACGTATGGCCTGGTTCTAAACTTCCCAGAGACTGCTTCATGCCCCGTGGTCATCAAAACTAGCAACATGTGGGCTTCAGACACCAGCAGGGATCACTGTGGTGCTTCCACATACTTGGGTCCAGATTAAGAGAGATAGAACACAGCCAGTAATATCCTCTAGTTCCCCTTACTGGATTTTAAAGATGTATTATTAACATCTTTTATTATTATTAACATTTTATTATTAACATCATTTTTATCTTTCCTTTTGGTGAAAAACAGTACTTTAAAAATGTTTAATGTCTGTTTGAAAAACAAAAATAGGATGCAGTAGGAGATACAGGGGGGCTCTGAGGGGTGTGCACAAGGCCTCTGCTTCTTGTCTAGATACATTTACGAATATTGGCCTCTACCAACTCTCTTCCTAATGTGGGACTTTGCACTAGGCCTCCCCCGAGGTGTTTCTAAGGAACCTGTGGATCTGATTTCATTGTGTATTTTCTGTACCCAAAGCCCACAGCCAGAACTGAAATGGGATCCTGGGGGTGACCAGAGGTGAAGCTCTATGTATCCCAGAAGGAAGGGGCCATTATAGCAATGTGCCTACCTTTGTCTCCTTAAAAAGGAGCAAATGAGGAGGGGCATCTGCGTGGCTTAGTTGGTTAAGCATCTGACTCATGATTTCATCTCAGGTCGTGATCTCAGGATTGTGAGATCGAGCCCCATGTTGGGCTCTGCATTGGGCATGGAGTCTGCTTGGGATTCTCTCTCTCTCTCTCCCTCTGTTCCTCTCCCACTTGTGTTTGTTTTCTCTCTCTCTCTCTCTCTCTCTCTCTCTCTCTCCCTCCCTCTGCTCTCCCCCCCCCAAAAAAAGGGAACAAATGAGCATCAAAGGGAGGTGCCACTCTTAGAACTAGCAATTTCTAAAAAAAGATTCATGTGGTATTTATCATCTCATTATAGAAGTTTAAGACTTGTCTTGCTTTTATGTATGTACATATATATATACATACATACATATATATATGTGAATAGTCAGCAAATACTCATTCTACAGATATTTATGGATCTCTGTTATGTGCTGAACAGTGAACACTGCCCTCTTGGACTTTGTATTCTAAGTGATCATCATAAAAGAGGAAAAATAGCTGGGAGACAAAAAGCCCTGCCTAAGTATTTTTATTTGTGGGTCAAGCCTAAGGGAGCAAAAAGCATTGATCATCTTGCTAGTATCACCTTTAGGACACAACCACAAATTAGAGCTCTGAATTCAGTGGGCATTGAGTCTCTTGCCTTCCAGCCAATAGTCTTAAAAAACATGTGGAAGGCACAGGGTGGCAGGTTGCTTGGGGGCCCAGCGTGGGTCAGCTGCCTTTTGGCTCCTCTGATGGTAGTTTTTGGAGGATTGAACTCCACAGTCATTCCTGCATTTTTTTATTCATGGATATTGTGCATACCCCCTTTTCCCCCCACCAGTCACCAAAAGCGAGTCTTTGAGACTGTGAGAAACATCAACCAAGTCGTCAAGCAGAGGTCTCTGACCCCGTCCCCCATGAACATCCCTGGCTCCAACCAGTCCTCAGCCATGAACTCCCTCCTGTCCAGCTGCGTCAGCACCCCCCGGTCCAGCTTCTATGGCAGTGACGTTGGCAACATCGTCCTGGACAACAAAACCAACAGCATCATCCTGGAAGCAGAGGCAGCTGACCTGGGGTGAGCCAATTGGGAGTTTTTACTCTTTGTGTTTTGGAGACAGGTGGTATGGATCAGCTATGGGTTCAGCTATCAGAAGAGGGAGGCTGATACAGAATTGCCTGAAAAGCATAGACCTTTCAGTTCTCTTAATCTGTTTTGCCAGCCCTCTGAGTTGCCAGCCCTTGATCAGAATCAAGGGCATATTTTCACCAGTGGAAGGATGTACAACAGGAAGTCTGCTTTTCCATCAAATGCTGAAGGGGAGGATAAATGAGTATTTTTTCTGTTAATCTTCACTGTTGGGCTACAGAATGGATGTTTGTTTCAGGGACCCCTTTGTAGCTTGGGTGTTTGAAAGGCTGAGGAGGACTCAGGCTCTGTCTTGTGACCAGAATCTAGCTTGCTTGAAGGTAGGCTCCCTGCAGGTGCCAGACACACCTCCTGCCCCTGGAGTGGGCAGTGGGCAGTCCCTCTTTGTCCTGAAGCCCTGCAGACACATCCCCCCACAAACGCACACACATATAGGCAGCTGTGTTGTACACCCTTCTGTGACAGTGAAATCGGTGCTCTGACCAGTTGGGTCAGAGGGGAAACTGCTTGATCAGAACAGCTCTTTTAATTCCAGAGGAAAGAGAAATGCCTGTCGAACCAGTAACCTCTCTGGTGACTAGGACTGTAGCCTGAAGAAGCCGACAAGCCGCCGTCTTTTTATTTTTTTTATTTTTTTTTTATTCATGAGAGAGACACAGAGAGGCAGAGACATAGGCAGAGAGAGAAGCAGGTTACATGCAGAGAGCCCTATGCTGGACTCGATCCCATTACCCGGGGCTTGTGACCTGAGCCAAAGGAAGATGCTCGACCACTGTGCCAACCAGGCATCCATCCTCAGGGCTCACAAGGAACATGCTCCTGGGAACGGAATTTTTTTGCATTGTGGGTGCAAATTTTCATTACACCTTAGTGCTCTCCTAGTTCCCAGCAAAACACCCAACAGCAAGAACAAGTTATTCTAGGCAGGCATGCCCTTGCCCATTTTTGCCTAAATTTCAGTGGCTTGCCCTGTTGGCTTCCCTGGCAACAGTCCTGCGGCCCCCAGACGTGTCCACCCCTGGCCACCTAGCAGCTAGGCCTTCCTCGGACTGTGTACCTTGCATGTGCCTGCTGCTGGGGGCACCGCGCTCAGCCCCATCTCCCTCCTTGCAGGAGCGACGAGCGGAGCAAGAAGCCGGGCACGCCGGGCACCCCGGGCTCCCATGACCTGGAGACGGCCCTGCGGCGGCTGTCCCTCCGCCGGGAGAACTACCTCTCGGAGCGCAGGTTCTTCGAGGAGGAGCAGGAGCGGAAGCTCAGGGAGCTGGCGGAGAAGGGCGAGCTGCTCAGCGGCTCGCTCACACCCACGGAGAGCATCATGTCCCTCGGCACCCACTCGCGCTTCTCTGAGTTCACCGGCTTCTCGGGCATGTCCTTCAGCAGCCGCTCCTACCTGCCTGAGAAACTCCAGATCGTGAAGCCTCTGGAAGGTGATCACCGGGGGCCTCAGCCCCTCTCCACCCTCCTCGGCGACCGCCTGTGGGCCCTGATCCACCACCAGCAAGCGGGCAGCCTCTGTAATGCCTACTCCTTTTTCTTCAGAGATAGCCTCCCGCGATGCTGGTTTGAGTTCCTCTGACGGTGCCCAGCTTGGGCCTCCATCCCCTGTGGGGGCGGGGAAAGGGGGGGAGCGTGGGAGCGTGCAGGCAGGCAGGGAGTGACCTCAGCCCACCAGGCCAAAGAAAAGGAATGAGCATGTTCCCAAGAGTTTCCTAGTCCTCTTTCTTTTGCATTTAGGACCTTAGAAGGAAAGCATTTTGAGAGGAAGAGGAACTGATAACATATTAAAAAGTTAATTAGGTCGTGCCTGGGGTCTGAGAAGTGCAGAAAATCATTGCTGTCACCTCTCAGAAACGTTGGTGTCAGGGAGGAGTGCAGAGCAAAGGCTGGAAGTTGTTTATTCAGGGACCGCGGGAGAGTGATCTGCAGTTTGTGGGCTGATGGGTTTTGCTTCCATCTTCAAGTAAAGAGGGCGTGCCTTTCTTCCAGTGCCATGCGTTCTGAGTGAGGCTTCCACAGTCTGGAGCAGGGATGGCCATGGAGGCCAGTGAGTTCTGTACCTCCTTAAACTTGCCTTTCCCAGGGGTAGTCTACTTTTTGGTAGTACCAGGGACACCCCAGATGATTAAACTCCTGGAAGAATTCACCTTTTTTTCTTTTCTTTTTCTTCCAGGCATTATAAAATGTCTTCCCTTTACTTACCCACTTACCCTGTTAAGAGCCACCAGGCGTTTGTATTTCTCATTTTTGACTCCTTTAGTTTGGAAACCCATGTGAGTTTTAGAAGGTATTTTAAGGATTAAAAAAATTTTATTTATGAAAGACACAGAGACGTAGAGACATAGGCAGAGGGAGAAGCAGGCTCCCTCTGGGGAGCCCTATATGGGACTCAGTCCCAGGACCCCAGGATTACAACCTGAGCCAAAGGCAGATGCTCAACCATTGAGCCACCCAGGTGCTCCCGTATTAGGATTCTGTTACATTTCTGATGCAAAGCCAAATAGAAATTTCTGTAAGGCTGCATTTCCCATGTTAGGCTTACACACATATTCTTAGCTACTCCTCCTGCAATTTAATACCACAAATATAGTATTGATGTACTGTATCTTTGCTCTCTGCCTAAAAAGAGTGGGATTTTTTTTATTTTTTTCACCCCATAAGAACCTGTTTTCGACCCTCATGGGGGCAGTATTATCCTTGTTGTGAATGTGCAATGTAAAATGAGGGTATGCTTGTTAAAGACCCAAGATTTGCTGGGTTCCGTAGTCTCCAGAAGAAGGAAGAGGGTGAACTGATGTTCTTTCTTCATGATTATTTTTTGATTGTATAATTTAGGCCCTTATTAGATTTCAGAAAAGGAATGGCTCTTTCTTTTTTTAATTGTTTATTCAGTTGTGAGCTTGGTGATTGTTTCCTGATCCATAATTATGTCTGTTTTTCGTTCAATAAAATCTTCCATTTCTGCAATTTTACTTTCTGCCTTTCTTTTCTTTTTTTCTCCTTTGTCTCTTAAAGCTCATTGGAATTTATCATCTCTATTTCGTCTGATTTCTGTATTTGACTTTGTGTTTTGTTAGATCATCTAAGAATATGTCTTTGGATTTATTTTCCAAGCATATTGCAGGAAGAGATTTTTAAAAATTTATTTCAACCAATTCATCTTTTTTTTTCTCTTAATCTTGTGACTTAGCAGTATTTTTTGTGTTCATAGAATAAGAGGAAATCCCATTAGATATGCTAGGTCAGTTTCATCTGTAGTACCCTGCTCATCAGGAAGCTAAATCACCACCATTATTAAGAAGTCATGTCATATCACTATGGACTGTAATACATCTCATGATAGAGATCCCTCTCCTTCATTTTGTAGTTCTCTGACTTCTCAGCTATTTAAAATACAATGAGTATTTTTTCTTCCTTACCTCCACAATTATATTTTGATTACTTTGTTTAATTTGACAAGATGGACTGCTGACACAGAAGTCTGCCTGACATGGGGTTCAATGTAGCTCTAACTATGGCAGTAGATAAGGGAAAGAAGGCTCAAAAGGGTAACTTATTTGTGAAATAAGGCTTATATCTGCCACACAAAATTGTAGTGAGGAGTAAATGTGATTATGCCTAGCACCTAATGAGTACTAATTAAAGCTTAGGTTCCCCACACTTGCCCCTGTTTCAGCAGCTCAGGTCTGAAGGATGGCCTTACCAGTGTTGAGAACCCAAACCAGCATTGTGCTGGGGCCATGTTCTTACATCATCCTTTTCCACTGGCCCATTCAGAAACTGATAGGATTCCCTTGGTCTTCAGTGGCTCAGGTAAATGTACCTGAGGTGAGGTCCCTGGAGAATGTTGGCTGGGATCACAGTAGATAGCCAATCTGGGTCTTCCATCTGTGGCTCCCTTACCTATTTAATTCATCTTGCTATCTGCTTATTGGTGTCAGCCAAAATAGCTGGGCTAGGTGTTTAAGAAGGGTAGCACTCTTGTCTCTTCATCTTACCTTAGGGTTTTTAAGCAAGCGAAGAAAACAAACCTTTTCAGACTAGAGGAGAGAGAGCAGCATGAAAAAGATGAGTCAGACAGTATTTCCCCCCCTATATTTTGCTCTTTCTTTGTGATTAATTAAAATCAAGATGGTTGTTTTCCAGTAAACAAGTTAATATGTAATTAGAGGAAAACATACACTTCTCAGTTAAGCTAGACATTTGTCCAGCAGGGTAGTTCTAAACTTTAACCCCGGTACTCCTCTGACATACATGAATTTGGTTTTCTCCTTTTGATGATACAACAACTTTTAGAACAGTGGCCTATGGAAGGAAAACAAACAGGGAAAGGCATGGTGACCATAATTGCTTTCTCTGCTGTCCATGCCCTTGTTTCACAGAGCTTTATCTTGGTGCCAACTAGGAACATGGAGGCTCCTCTCTTTCCCTGACCCCAGCCACCTCCTCTCCAGGGTGGGAGGGAGGGAGGGAGCGAGGGGGTGGTAATGGGAGGTGGCTAATAGTGCAGTGATTCTTCTGCTTTGTGCTTGACAAATAAAGGAAGCCAGGCCAGGGAGAGGAGGATAGAAAAGAGGCAGCTAAAGCTCTGAAGAAGATGGTGTTCATATTTAAATTTTAATCTGTGCTCCATCTTGTATTAAAGGCAGAACCTCAGGCAGCCAGGAGATCAGTAGGATTCCTATGGCGTTCCAGGCAGCGGCAGGGGAAAGGAGTGAGGTGTGAGCCCTTTTGCCTGGGTCCTGGACTCAGGAAACCCTCCTGGGGCCTTAGAACCAGTTGGGAATGGAAATGGTCTGTGAGCCTCACAGCCTGATGTAACTCAAATAATGGGGTTGTAGCGGCTTTCGCCGATACTCACTTTTGCAGGATGGAAGACACCTGTATGAGGATTGAAAAAGCCAGTCAGATGTGTTATTGACCTGGTGTCTGAGACACACACAGGGGAGACCTCCTCACTGCAGGCACAGAGATAGTGTATATGATTAGGAAGATGAACACTGGAGCCAGCAGGGATCTGAATCCCAGTTAGCCACCTGCTAGCTGTGCAACCTCTGGCAAGTTACATGACCTCCCTGTGTTCACTCACCTCATCTGTAAAATGAGGACAACAGGGTTATCATGATGATTGAGTTAATAAATGTAGGCCTCTTAAGAGGGGTGCCCAGCACCTAGCAAGTGCTCAGTAAAGGTTGGCTGTTTTCTACCCGAGTAAGGGATGCCTGAGGTGGGATGGGGCTGGCCAGGGGGGTGGTAAAAATACAAGTCCAATGTATCTCTCAGCATAATCTTTCCATTGTAATCTCATGAAATTCCTTTGGGCTCTGCATATTCAGGGAAGGCAAATAACCCCACGAACTTCTGCAGCATCTTGAATTCCAAACAGCAAACCCTCTGTATCCTTGTTTCTCTCTCTAGGCCATGCCTGGGGTAGGGGGAGAGATAGGGGCAGTCTGCTAAACAGATGGAGGACCAAGGTCCACGGGCCTGCTTTCCAGCCTTGGACCTCCAGCCTCCCTGAGTTCTATCCCAGTGTACTGTAAACACCTCAGCCCCCTTCAGAAGGGTGAACGCCTTCAGCACTTCCTGACTTTCCAGCATCTGTCAACTTTCCCTCTCCTCCCCTTTCAAAAGTAGAGGTGACGTGGCCACACCGTACCTGGGGATTTGTCATCATCCTCATAAGAGCATGTGAGTCCTGAGCTGGATGTCACAGTGCCTTGTTAAGACTTTAGTCTTAGTATTTTAGCCAGGAATGTGCCTGTGTGTCCAGAGGACACACAAACAGGGGGCTCATTATGTATCATGAATGGAGGTCTCCAGAGGTGGGTTGAGAAACTCCAGCAGCAGCAGTGTCATGTGTGTTCTGGCAGGCCTTGGACAGCCACCTACAACTTTTGCTGCCCACCATTGATGCTTCTCACTTAGTGTGGGTTCCCAGCTGGAGCACTGATGTCCTTGCTTGTTGACAGACCTGTAGACTTTGGGCAGCAGGCCATGTGAGCTTACGAAAAGAACCTGGCCTTGGGCATGGGACCCTGGCTCTGCCACCATGACGCAGGGACTTTGGAAAATTGAGTTCAGTGAACCTCACTCAGTCCCCTCATTGGGTGCTGGGAATTGTTGATCCCTGGCCCCACCCATTCAATGCTATTAGCACTCCCTGTTTCCCCACAGTTGTGACAACCCAAAAAGTCTCCATCTGTTTATCAAATGTCCTGTTTGGGGCAAAACCATCCCTAGATGAGAATTATTGCTCTAGATGTATCTTAGCATCTAGTGAGAGAACAGGCTTGTGATGCTCTTTTGTCATAGTTACCCTCTTATTATCTCGTTTCTTTTGTATTTAGAATATTTTTCTACTTATATGCAATAGATTCAGGTTAAGTAGGTTGCCGTTGTACTTGTGCACACTTAAAACTGGGACAGACCTCCAAGTGGGTATGTTGGGACTTCCCTAAACATGTATTGGCGGTGTGTACATTTCTCTATAAAGTGAATGTGAGATTGCCCACTTCCAAAATCCTTTCAAGACTCGTTGGCTGAGCTTGCTTCCCAGAAAGTTCCTTCCTGACAGTATTTGGAGGATAGCATGCTCCCTGGGCACACCAGAGCATCCACAGCGCCCATTGAGGGGGTTCTCTGCATCTAGTTCATGTCCCTGACCCCAACGCCTGCCACCATTCCCTTCTCTTTTCTGTTGACTCCTGAGCTGCCAGCTCCTGGCATCCATAGCTCCCCTGGCCCTCCCTTTCTGACATGCCCTGGAGGGGTTCTTGTCTGCCTTACAGAGGACAGTCTTCATAAACCAGTGGTAACTGGGAGGCATTTGTGCGGAAGGCTCCTTCTTTCCCACACCTGAGAACCGCTCTCAGAGTCCCACTCATGAGTGTAGAGTGTTCGTCTGTGTGGCTAAGTAATTCACCTGTAGAACGGGGATAGACACCTAGGCTCATGGGCCATGTGAGGTATAAGAAATGTCCCAAAGGGAAGAAGAGTTGCTCTGGCAAATGGATTGTACAGAATCCCAGGACATGGCAACATACTGAAGGCTCTGGACGCTCCTCAGTACCTCTGCTTCTCAACCCAGGTTTGCTAAGCGTACTCATTCCTGGAACGCCTCTCTTTGTGAGTGTCCGTGATACCCGCGAGGTCCTCAGGGACACCTCTCCGGTGTTATTACAGACCTTGCGTGAATGTCATCTGAGTCTCGGGGTCTGGTGTCACTGAGGAGATCTGTGTGAACTTCATGTGCTTGCCAATCACTCCCGGGTAGCATCATGCCCTCTCCCAGACCTGCAGGGTTTGGGATGCTGGCAGAAGGCCGAAACCCTAATAAGTAAAGGAGGCGAAGGTCATGCCTACAGCTTACCCCTGTGTGCTACTCCAGTTTCCTTTTACTTTTCTCTTGTTGTGTGTCCCAGGGTCCGTGCAACATTGTCTTGCTCTGCCTCTGCTCGCGTCTCACCTGGCCCCAGCAGCAGGCACTTGGCACAGAATCAGGACGTAGGCACCCTGTTTTGAACTTGTCTTGCTCATTTTTCCTCTCTGTTCCTATGATTGATGGGGTGTTGGATCTGGGGATTGACATCACTCGGCTAAAAAAGTTTGTCACCAAATTTGCCACACCATATGGCATGAGTTTTACTTTGTGAAAAGATGAGTTTTTGATTCCTTGACTTAGTGTCCCTCCCAGGCGTGGCGAGTCATCAGCCCCTGTGATGACTCAGGGGCACAGTAGCCAGGGCCGGGGCCACTCCACCAGTGTCCCCACCAGAGTTCACCCACCGGGCTCAGGGCCTGCCAGGGGTCAGCTTCCACACTCCAAGGGTGGTGACAGCCATCGGCTTAGACTTCCATCCTAACCCTCTCTTCTCCCTGTCCCCTCCCATCCCCCACCTGCCCCCCACCTGCCCTTTCTCCTGCAAGGCTCCGCCACCCTTCACCACTGGCAGCAGCTGGCTCAGCCCCACCTCGGGGGCATCCTGGACCCCCGGCCCGGTGTGGTCACCAAAGGCTTCCGGACCCTGGACGTTGACCTGGACGAAGTGTACTGCCTTAACGACTTTGAAGAAGACGACACAGGTGACCACATTTCCCTCCCGGGCCTAGCTACCTCCACGCCAGTTCAGCACCCAGAGACCTCAGGTGAGGGGTCCCGAGCACGCGTGACTGTCTCAGGCAGCAGAAGTTACCCACGCCGGCCTCAGGCTTTCCCCGAGGAGATGCAAGAGCCGCCAGCGGCCGAAAAGGAGGAGGAGGAGGAGGAGGAGGGGTCTGGTGAGGGCACCGCAATAGGTCCTGTAAACCTGGCACCTTTACCAGAGGCCAAGTTCTGGGCCATTCTCACCTCTGTTCCGAGTACCATCCGTAGTGGCTCTCTGTCTGTAGCTTCCGCTCGTCTGTGTGGGTGATGATGAAAGTATTCCCATCGTGCAGTTTTGTTTTTTTAATGAAGAGTCCAGTGCCTCCTTTTTGTAGCGAATGGGTGTAGCTCTCTGCCCGTCTTGGAGGTGATGACCCAGTGGGTCTCCTGATGGGGGAGCAGGAAAGGCTGCTAAACAGAAGTGGATTGTTGCCTCCCAGCCTGCCTCGTACATCAGCTCCTCTGTTCCTGCTGCGGGTATCTCCCCGAGTCTGGGGTGGGGGGCAGATTCCTGAGTCCCGCAGTGATTTCCAAACTGAGCTGAGTAGGGTTGGGCATTTTAAGGGGAAATCAGGAGCGCTGGATGGCTCAGATGGTGAGTGAGAGAATCTGTTACCTATGAGGAGCATCGAAATAGGAGGAAGGCTGGAAAGTGTTCAGGATTTCCAGACAACACGGGGATAGATCAGCCTTTTCACGTTTCTAACTTCAATGAAGGAACTTCTTTCCAGCTTATACATGTGTTCAAAGTGGATTTTTCAAAAGTGTTTTAGCAAAGCTCTTTGACCCAACAAACCCAAGGGAATGTCAGTAAGGTTTTCCAGAGACAGGACCCCAGATAAATCTGGAGAAGAGCTCCAGCTGGTTACCCACCCCTGCTGCCCCATTAAAGATATGACCATGAGTTTGCAGAATTATACTCTAGGCATCACTGGGGTGAAATGCTTTGGGCTCAGGGCCCAGGGACCACAGTAATAGTCATTACTATTTGCCCCAGACTTCCTGCCTGCCCCCCCCCACACACACTACAGTGCTAAGAAGATGAGGAGGCTCTCTTGTGAAATCAGGGCAGAGACTCTGAAAAAGATGAATTCACCCAATGGTCGTCATCCTGAGGGCATCCCAGAGTTACTAGATTTGAGAGGACCTGTATCTTTGTGATTCAGAACTTTCATCCATGGAGGTCACAGTGCTCCCATTAAGTACAGGGCAAGAGAGCTGAGGTGCATGATGGCACTTCCCAGGCTAGGTCCGGGTGCCTGTGCCAAGGGACTTAATTTGAATCCAATGTTTCTGTTTCCTTTGACATAAACTTTAGAGATATCACCAAGTAAAAAGAATTGATTTAGCCCATAAGTTTATGGTTTATTTATTTAGTCTTTAGCAATTAAGTTGCCAGAGTAAGCTTGCAATGGAATGAAAATGTTTCTTATTTAATATCTTTGCACTGAAAAGAGGGAGACCAGCCATGGTATTGTTACTTCCCCTTGTTCTCAGCACCATTGTCCTTCAGGAAGGCAGTCAGTAGTCCAGGAAACCCAGTGTCTGCTGAGTTTGGTGGCCGAAAGGGTAGGAATCATGTCAGGTGTGATGACCCCTCCCTGCAGTCCTGCAGGTGGACCAGAAGGTAAAGGCTAGAACTTTAAAGAAGCACTATGAGGTATGTCTTCAAGAAGTTGTACAGAAGGAATAGAACTTACCATGAAGTTAGTTAAGAACTTCTCTCAGAGGTCAGAGGGAGAGAAGGGACCAGAATAACAGAAGTCCTGACCACTTTCCTTACCATAAACAAAGATGCGTTTATTGCTTCTTTCCTCCTTCCTCAAACCTGCAGCAAACTCATCCCAGCAACTTTGAGGAGAGGCATACAAATCTAGAGAGTTGAAACTTAGAGGGATCCCACGTTGGAAGTATGCAATCAAAAAGAGTTCTATAGATTGCTGAAAGTAACTCAGGCAAGGCCTGATCATTTAGACCAGAGTTCTTTTGGGCTTGTCTTCTAGGTCAGACTTGTTAAAAGCTCAGTGCTGAGGGGATCAGTGCCAACAGTGATTTGGCTCTTTTTGCCCTATTGGGAGTAGCAGGACCCTTTTGATGACTAGAAGGTAAGAAACATGTCACTCAAAGTAAATATCACCCCAGAGGCTCCAAGTGGCATTATATACACAGTTGTGAAGCCACAGGTAAATAGATGAGCTTCAGCAGGAAGGACTGGGGCATTGTCTGTCTTGAGATTTATACTCAGGCTAGTCTGGTCCCTGCCTTGGTTCACCCTTGATGCTTAGGCTTTTCTGTTGCCAGACAGCACAGTTCTGGGGGCTACCACCTGGAAATACTGAGTAGGGACAAACTCTAAAGGCAGAGGTTTAGCCTTTTTTTCTTACAACTGATACTTTGGAAGGAAACTGGGGAGACCTGTTATCTAGCACCTGTTAGCTCATGGTGAAAGGGTTCTGGGTACTGAAAAAAATTTATTAATATATTTTAATGTATTGTATCACTCTGCTGATTTTTATAATCCCCTGTCTTAAAAAGCATGATTCCTTGTTTTTATATTTGTAAATAATTTAGATGATTAAAATGGATTGTTTAAAACAATTTTTAGATTATAGTTTTACTTTTTCAGTGATGTTTTATGTGTTAACTCATATAGAAAGTGCAGTGTATCAGAATGAGTTATTGTACTGTCCATGTTCTGCATTTTAAGTATGTGTAGGAAAGAGTCAGCATGCAGGATAGGATTAAGATCAGAGTTTTAAAGTCATGCAGTTAAGTTGGGAGATGGTTGGTTGGACAGTTTAGCTGAATTTTTTGGGATGCCATGTGATCCTTAAAAGGGAGAAAGAAATAGGATTAGAGCAACATAGAAGAAAGTGAAGGCCAGTTTATTTTCATACTCCTACACATGAAGGCCACTCGGGTGGGGGGACCCGAAGCAGGCTCATACCAGTCACGGTGCCTGTCTGGCAGTGGCCCTGCAATGTCATCATTGGGGCTGAGGTGCAAAAGTGAGTGCTGAAAGCAAAAATCACATTTGGTCAAACAGTCCTTGAAAAATCCCCTGAAGCTACAGCATGTGGACCCATTCCCCTCCCCCTACTCCCCCAGCACCCCAGGCAAAGGCCAGGAATTAGCTCCTTTGAAGCTTCCTTACTTGATGCTTAGGTCCAGGTTCTCTTCAGTGGTGGCTGCTGAGCAAGGCCAGAGAAGGAAGAGCACATAGGGGAAAGGAGCCAGAGGGGCAGTTGGGCCAGCTGCGTATTACCTCAGTGCCTATGCAGGCCAGGAGCAGGTTTGAGCAGAGCCCCATAGCCCAGTGCTATCCTTTCTGTCCCAGGTCCCAGGTGGGTCCTGAGGGAGATTGGACATGGGGGCCTGACAGGTCTGGAAGGAAAGGAAAATTCCCTTCGATTCACAGATCCTCAGGTGTAGGAAGGTTCCTTTTTTTTTTTTTTAAAGATGTTATTTATTCATGAGAGACACAGAGAGAGGCAGAGGCATAGGCAGAGAGAGAAGAAGGAGGCTCCCTGTGAGGAGCCTAATGCAGGACTTGATCCCAGGACCCTGGGATCATGATCTGAGCTGAAGGCAAATGCTCAACCGCTGAGCCACCAGGCACCCTGGAAGGTTCCCTTTTGTCTCCACAGAGAGAGCTGACAATACATTCCCACTCTGGTGGGAAGACTTTCCAACTCAGCCTTTGTTCTGGAGCGGTTATAAGAGTTTGGTCCTTGTGGACAGGGCAGATGGTCTGCTCACACCCACCTGTGTTCGGCAGTGCTAAGGGAAGCCCCTGTGCCCTTGCATCAGGATACGTATAAAACCAGAGCAAAACAGGAGAGTTGCAACCTGGAAGTAGAAAAATAAATGAAGAGAGGTCATTCACTCCTCCCAAACCAACAATTGGAGTCCACCCTGCTTACACTTTCCTGAATGAGCCTGCTCTCCTGGAATGCTTTTTTGATGGCATCCTCACCTCTGAAAACCCATAGGAGGACCCTAAGCTCCTCTAGGAGCACCTGCATGGACCGCTGAGGAGTGTGCACAGGTGACTGACTCTTGTCTGTGTAGGAGGGAGCCCTGGGGTGGTTGTTGACCAGTGAGTGAGTTCTCCAGTGGTACTGCCTAGAGGCGGGTGGGGAAGCACACTCCTGAACTGGTGTGGAAGGCACTTAGCACAAATGGGTCTTAGCTTAGCCAGGCCAGCTCTCCCACCGGTGGGCGTCTGCCACAGAAGGAGGGACAAGAGATGATCAGGGTATAGGTAGGGGTTCAGCTTTGTTGGCATCCAAAGGATCTTTTGCATTTTGCCCCTTTTACATTTCAACCACATTCTTAAAGAATCCCTTTTTCTCCAGAAGATATTTTAGTGGCCACTTGTGGGAATTTTTGTCCTTCTCTGCACGATGCTGTTAGATTGTTCATCTGTTAAATTACATACTACTTAGATGAAACAGGGAGTAGACAGCTTGGAACAGTGGGAAAAATTGACTTAATTATTTTAATTTTGCAAGAACCAAAAATAAGTTGTACAGAAACCAGAAAAAGATGTTATGTGTTTCAAAAATCTCTATGATAGAAACCTCCCAGTGCCTGCAGGTCTGTGTCTGCATCAGGGGCTCGGAGGTCCCTGTCAAGCTGTAGGACCAGATGAGGGCTGTGTTGAAGAAATGTTCAAAAGGCAGAGAAAGAGAGTTAGCAAGTCCATGTTAAGCCTGGAACTAAAGGTTAAAAAAATACCACACCATAACACTGTTTGGCTTAAAAACACTTTTATCTTTTTTTTTTTTTTTTTTTTTTTTAAGATTTTATTTATTTGGCGGGGAGAGTGAGCGCAAGCAAGAGAGAGAGTTAGAGCACGAGCTGGGGCGGAGAGGAGCCAAAGGAGAGGGAGAAGCAGACTCCCACTGGGCAGGGAGCCAGACAGGCACTCGATCCTAGGACCCCGAGATCATGACCTGAGCCAAAGGCAGGTGTTTAACTGACTGAGTCACCCAGCACTGTTATTTTTTTTTAAAGGGAGAAAATTATGCTACTTTATCAGAAACTGTTCTTGATTCCTCATCCCCCAGAGGAAAACACTTGTTAGAGCAGTGTGAAGCCCAGACACAGTATTGATATTAATGGTGAAGCCGTAGGCACACAAAGGCTCTGTGGAGCTTTGCCCATATGCACTCGTCATGGAACTTTTTTTTTCCCCAGAAAAATTCATGGGCAGAGTAATATAAAGAAGTGACAGAGGGACACCTGGGTGGCCCAGTGATTGAGCATCTGCCTTTGGCTAAGGTCATGATCCTGGGATTCTCACATTGAGCTCCATGTGGGGAGCCTGCTTCTCTCTCAGCCTGTCTCTGCCTCTCTCTGAGTGTCTCTCATTAATAAATAAATCATTTTTTTTAAAGTGACAGAAAAAGTCTTTTAAAGGATTTTTCTGTGTTCTGATATTTTGGTCTTTAAGGAAGAATTCAAAAGCATTGCTTTTGCCTTTTTATAATGGACAAGTATCTGACAGGCAAAGACCCCCCTTGTCCTCCCCACCCCCCACAAACACACAACGTGATTACTCTTTGAACAAAAAAGTAACAAAGTCATTAGAAACTAGTAAAAAGGTCAAAACAAAAAGCACCAAGGAAAGGTACAGATGGCGGGATCCCTGGGTGGCACAACGGTTTGGCGCCTGCCTTTGGCCCAGGGCGCGATCCTGGAGACCCGGGATCGAATCCCATGTCGGGCTCTGGTGCATGGAGCCTGCTTCTCCCTCTGCCTATGTCTCTGCCTCTCTCTCTCTCTCTCTCTCTGTGTGTGTGTGTGTGTGTGTGTGACTATCATAAATAAATAAAAAAGAATAAAAAAATATGTTAAGGAAAGGTACAGATGCTCTTAGTTCAAGCCACACCCATAAACTAGATGGCCAGTGGGTTCTGTTTTGCTTGCAGAGAAAAAGGTGGGCCTGTGGGCACCTGTTGATGTGGTGGCAGGAAGGGGAGAGAGTGAGTGTGTGTGTGGGGGGGAGGGGTTGCTAATGAGTTTATAGAAATTGCAAAGCAGATCCAAATCATGTGACAGCAGCTTCACACTAGGTGTTGAAGTTAAGAAAAGGAAATTTGTCAGGGGCATTTGGTTCATTTTACACAGATCTGGCCACTTGGCATGAGGAGGGGGAAGAGAACATGGGAAGCATTCAGTGCATCCCAAAGACAGTACTCTTTTTTCAAGATTTGGAGATGCATTTGTAATTTTTATTTTTAAGAAATTATTTGTGTTAGCAAAAAAAAAAAAATAAATAGAAGTAGGTTGGGTGTGTGGCATGCTAGGTTTCTCCATCCTCAGAAATCCCCTTGAAAGCATCGTTGTACAGGTGTGTATTTTGCAACTCCCCTTAGAAACCTCTAGATGCAGGTATACATTTTGGCATCTATGTGGGCTCATGTGAGGGCTCTTTTAAGAGCCTTCAGAGGGGCAAGTTACTCCTCCCAGCACAGTACCAGTCTCCCTTCCCTGTGGATAGGAAAAGGAAAGGTGGTTTGAATGGACTAAAATGCATGAGTTGGTGTCTACAAATCCCATCATGTGGATGGGAGACTGGCAGAGTCTAGGTGATGCTTTGGGTCCCCACCAGAGCATCCCAGCCTTGTCTGTGCTCCTTTTCCCTCCTCATAATTAGAGCAAGGGGCCCTGGGGTAGTGGGCTTTCCTGGCCATGTTCCCTGGAGGCCCGAACATTCCACTGAGCAGCCATGACCTAGACCCGCATAGCATGCTTGCAGATACCCCATAGTGTAGACTCAGGGCCACCCAGGGAGGAAGCCCCAGCTCACTGGATACTGTGTGCCCTGTCAGGGCACCCACCATCACTGGTTGCAGCTTTAAGATCTCAAGTACCCAGTTTGCAGTCAGTCTTGGGCACCCTGTGCCCCCACCCTCCCCCCCCTGCACCCAGAGGAGCACAGCCAACCAGAACAATTTACCAAGTGCACCTATTCCAGGCAGAAGGCCCACAGGATCAGATCGGAGAGCAAGGGAGCAGGGTGACCCTCGCCCTTAGAAAGCCCTCGTATGCCGCCACCTGCAGCTAGCCAAAGGGTGTGCCTGCACACACAGCCTGTTTCCAGGAAAAAAAAAATTTGAGGCTAGCCACCTGTATGTGGTTCACCAACACAGACGATCTTGAATGATTGAGGATTAACTAAGTTTATAGGTTTTCTTTGATAGATTAGGATCTTGTATAGGTGTCAGAACCTGGTGGAGGAGGTTATAAAATAAAAATAATGAAGGATTAGAGGATGCTTGATGGAGCCCTTTTCAGTGTGAATACTCTAACCCGTGTAATGCTCTCTCCTTGCAACACTGTGAGCCCCCCTTGCCCCCCCCCACACACACATTCCAGACTAAGGAAAAGGTCTGAAGTAGGAAGCTGGAGCAGTGGATCCAAGAAACTGTCCCTCCCAGGGGGCAGCAGGAGGTGGACGCACAGCGCCTGAGGCAGGGCATCCTTGCGCTGTCACTGTCGGGACGGGGAACTAATGAGCCTCCACCCCAGCCTCCTGTCCCTGCGGAGGAGAATGCACCCTTTGAGAAACTGCTCACTCCTGCAGGCAGGGCTTTAGGAACCAGCCTGCTAGCTGTTCCGAGGCAAGTACAAGGGGCCTCAGGCGACTCACTGTCTCTGTGTTGTGTCCCAAGGAAGGGAAGTGCTGCAGCAGCCCGGCGGGCAGTGGTGACGCGCGGAGAGCTGGAGGGCCAGGCGTCCCAGTGGTATTGGGGAGGGGCCGAACCTCTGGCTTGGCACTTTTGATTCCTGTTGATCTTCTTCTCCATTGCTTCTGGGGAATGATGACTTCTGAATTTTAGCAGCCTTTTCCTATCCCCTAAACCCATTCTCGTCAGATGGGTTTCGCTTCTGCTGATGCCACAGTGTCTCTAAAGTGTCCATCTCGCGCTACCTGTTGCAATTGAAGATCCAATATGTGATGGGGTGGAGGAGGAGTGGACCTTTGTTTGACCTTTTGATTTGATATTCTGGCCATGTGTTTAAATGGGGACACACTTCTAATTTTAAATCCAGCCTTGCTTTTGATTTTTTTTTTTTTTAAGATTCTCTCTTCCACTGTTTTGTCTTAGTTACCTCTCTTTACTGCATTTTTCTTCCCTTTCTCTCCCCCAAATAATCCCTCCTGCTTGTTATTTGGGATGCTTCTCTCAGGCTTTTTGTTGCTTTTGTTTCTAGACATGATTGCAGTCAGAGAATCGTGATTGTTCGGTTGCCTTTTCTTCATAGCTTATTCCATTTTCATTGTGTTTGCAGCAGTTTTCCAGTTACTCAGTTTCCTAAGCCATCACATTTATTGGTTGAGATGCAAAGATTCATAAAGGCTGTTTTCATGTGTGGGTTTCTTTCCCCCCATTCCTGCTCTGCCTGGCACTCCCTGTGCTTGAGAGTTTGCTCTGGTGGCTGGGGTGCTGGCTGCCACGCCAGGGGCCACAGGCACCTGCCTGGGCCCAGAGACACGGGTTGGACCATCATAATTGGGACAAAGCAGTCTTACATTGGTCTTCTAGTCACTGCCACCATTTTTGTGCTCTGGCTTTGTCCTTCCTGCCTTCAGCCTACCTGTCTCCAGCATATTTTGTTGCATTTGGTTTCTGGGGCTTTTTGTTTTTGTTTTTTTAAAGACACAGCTGTGTGTGGATCTGTAGGTTTGGGGCACCAATCACTTCTGTTTTGTTTTCCTTTTTGTCAAATCCAAGAGAAAACTTGCCTTAACGAGCCAGAAGATTCTAGTTCCCAGCCTTCTGAATCTTCAGAGTGCTCATGGCATCTGAGAAACAAATGTGTTTCCCCCCAAGAGGTCTCTGGGGCTGAGCTGCTGCAGGGGTGGTGGGACGGGCAGGGTGGGGGGTTGTCCCAGTACCTCACCATGCATGCTATTCAGAGCAGCATCTTCCCCCCGTTCCTCCCCCCTTTTTTTCTTCTTCTTTTTTTTTTTTTTTTTGCATTTGAGTTATGAATGAGGGTGACCTCTACAATCATGATGTCTCCCATAGACTCTATCACTCATTACTCTGCCATTCGCCAGCTTTCTGATGCATGGTCCTAATGCTTCTGTGATTTACTCTGCACCAAATCATAGTCTTCAGCTGCCTTAACAACAGCTCTTCAGAGCTTTAAAAGGAAATAAACTGAGTACAGCTTGTTGCTGTCTTATTTTTGTGAGAAGTCAGACATCCTGGAGATGGCAAGAAAGTGGCCTGGGAGACAGGGACTGCACGGGTTCGAGTGCATCAGACCACACCTGATCCTAGAGCTGAAGACAGTCCCAGGCTCTGAGAGTCTTACCCCTCTGTTGCTGAGGCAGCTGAAGCCTCATCTTCCCGCCCCCCTGCCCTCCACAGATAGACAGTAGTGGAACCAGCTTCCCCAAGCCCCTTTTCGTGTAATCTGGAAAGGGAGCCATGTGGGCCTTGCCCTGTTTCCAGGCAGCAAGGCCCCTCCCCACCCTGTGCCTCTCCCGTCTCCTTGGCAGAACTCGGCACCTGTTTGCCAATGCAAAGACGTGTGAAGCACCACAAGAAAGAAGCCGATTCTGACCCCTAGGAGGGAAATCCAATTATCCCCAAGGGCTCATTAGCTCCTCAAACTGGATCCACTACTGGCCAAAGCACGCTGATGGGGAACCCTGTCTGGATTGGGTCGGAAGCTGGAATTCAATGCACTGCACGGCAGTGCTCAAAAGTGTGGTTATTTTTGAAAGGCCACCTTCGATCCAGAACGTTTGCCTTACACCTTCCTGGCCCAGATCCATTAACAAGGTAGCTCATCACTTCTAACATCTGTCGAGAGCCATGCTGGAATTTGACTCTTCTCATGGGTTTACTTGGATGCAAGGAATATGTTCTGTTCCTCCCCCTCCCCATTTAGCACACCACCCTGGGAAGTGCATGTCACAGACCAACTCCACCTTCACCTTCACCACATGCCGCATCCTGCATCCTTCAGATGAGCTCACGCGGGTCACGCCAAGGTAAGGGACCCCAGCCCTGGGGTGGGTAAGGATGGAATGAGGTTGGGGCACTTCCTGCAGGACTTACGACCAAGAAAAGTCAAGGAAAGAGGCTCATTCTAAACCAACTCTGGCCAGCTCAGGCGTCTCGTAGCACTTGCTGTCACCTGGCTGGGGGTCCCATCTTTACTCTCGAATTGAGGCCTCTGTTGATTGAGATCCACCACAGAGAGAGAGAGAGCTGGATGTATTTAGAGTTGCCCTTTCCATTGGCCACAGAAGATTCTCAGGTGCCTTCTTCTCCAGGTGAAGCTGATGCTACCCCAGGTCATAAGGCCAAGTTTGTTGGCATTTTGCCCTCAAGTTTGTCAGTAGAGCATGATGTTCCTTCCCAGAATAGAGTTACTGAGCCCTGTGGAATCCCTTGTGCCTCTGGAATAGACCCCAGGAACCATGCCCCACGGCCACATGAGAATGGCTGCCATGATAACACTTAAAGACTGAGCCCTGTGCCCTGCACAGTCCACTTCCCTTTGGTGCCTTCCAGAAGTGCTGGAGGTTGACACGACCTGGCAGGAGGACTTGTGTGGCATGAGGGTGGTCGGCCTGGCTTGAGCGCAGGCCTTCCATGGCTCCCAGTGAAAGGGAAAACTGTCTCCCTCCCCATGGCAAAGCAGCCCTCTCAGCCATTGGCTGTGCAGTTGAGCAGCATGCTGGGGTGAATGGAAGGTAAAGCAGAAAAGGAGGGAGGCAAGGAGGCCAGCTCCAAGGGAGCAGATGCCCCAGGGAACACCTTAAACTATGAATAATTCTCCGCAGGTCATGTGAGGAGGACGACGAAGCGGCCCTATACCCTGTTGAGCTGAGAGGAGATGTAGGGCAGAGAGTGAGCCCACGGGCAAGGCAGGGGGTGAGCACACCACCAGCGGTGCCTGCCCTGGCAGGGCCCCCTGGAAGGGAGCTATGTGTGCACGTGTGGCCGCCACTAACCCAGGACTTAGGCGTGGATGTGTCTCTGTGGTTGTGCCTGGCTAATGTGGGCCTTGACAGTGGATACCCCTAACCCCTCTAAATGCTCAGTGGAGCCGAGTGCCAGCACTAATAAGGCCTAACGGGAGTCCTCAGCAGAAGGGGATTCTAAGTTTGGGCTGGTCTTCTCTGTCTCCCTTCCTGCCACCGGAGAACCCACCCCCGCCCCCACCCCGTGGCTCTGTGTTGGAAGAGTTCAGTGTTCTTACCATGCAGTAGGGTGTCTCTTGGGAGAGGCTGGTGCTGGGTGCTCTTCCACTGGAAGCCAGAGGACTCTGAATGCACATCTGTCCCCATCTCTTGTCAGGGACCGAAAAGGCCTGGCAGTCAGTAGCAAGAGAAGGCTTTTTGCCTGACTGTGAAAGAATGACACTTGAAACAAAATCAGAGATCTCCCCAAGAACGGCCCTGCAAACAAGACTTGAAGTCCAGTGTGTTTTTGCCCTCTATTGCTTGTAGACTGGTTTTGCAGACTCCCACGTGTGCCTGTTGAAGAATCCACTTTTTAACCTTAGGAATCTGCTGTGTCTGCTAATCTTGTGTCTCTCTGAGTGCTCCTGACCCTCCAGCATCCCCACCCCTGAGCTTGTGTGAGACGGGCCTGTTCTGGGTTTCTCCCCCTGGGCTGACCAGCCAGCCACAAGGTCACCTGGGTGTGGAGCCAAATGATGCCTTAGCTCACACTTGCTTGGGAACATCCCTCCCACAGCAGGAGGCCCCCTCCTGCCCATTCCCCTAGTTAGTGTTTTGTCCTCCCCTGGCCAGGCTGGGGACAGAGGGTCCTCCAGCTCCTGGGAACCACCCAGCTGGCCTGCTCCACGGGGCACCTGCAGCCCCTCCATGTCCTTGGGTGGGTCCCACGGCAGGTCTCATAAGACTGCAAGGAGAGGACGTGCTGCTCTGCCCCTGGTGGCTCATCCAGCCACCGTGAAGGGCCTCGGTGCCTATGCAGCCTCGCCCCAGCCCTGTACCAGTTGTTAAGAGAGGGCCTTTCCCGGTTTTCAAGCAGGTAGCACTGCCTTTCTCCCTACATCCCCTGTTACATTATCCTGCTGTAACTCCCGTTACTGCTGGACCCCATCTTCTCAGGGACCTCCATCACAGGTCCTCACCCAACATGACAGGAGTGGATGAAGGAATCTCACAGCTTTCCTTTGGTGACACAGGATCTGTATAGCCCATGAGCCTTTTCTAGATCACTCCACAGATGTAGGCCTGAGAATACATGACATGGCTGCCTCTGACCCCACATCCCCTCTCCTTGGGGTGGAATTGGCAGGCACAGGAGAGGGGCTAAGGGAAAGCATGGCACACAGGAAAGAGCATGATGGTGGGAGTCAGGAGGCTGGGCTCCTCCACTGACGTGATACACACCCTCAGCCTCCCCATCACCTAAGGGCCCTGTCTGTACCTGACGTTCCACGAAGGCCATTCCTGCGCTGAGCTCAGATCCCATAGTCCCTGGTTAACCCCTTGCCTCAGAAAAGCAGTTATTAGGAAGGAATGCCTAACATCTGAGTAAATTTGGTAGGGAAAGCAAGCCCCTCAGCATTTTTGGGGTCATTCAGACTTGGGCTTGAATCCTGGGTCTTCTACTTAACCGCGGAGCGTGATATTGACTGGCCATCTAACCCGAGTCTGACCTCCCTCACCTGTGGGGAGGAAGGTTATCCCCGCCCCCTGGGGATCACGTGCAGCTTGTTAACTTTAAACTGTGTCCCTGGCCAGGGAACCCCAGGCCGCCTTGGGTATGAGGGAGGAGCAGGCAGGGAAGGAGGCATCTGGGGAACCTGGGCTAGGGGAGTCCTCCCTGCACCCCTGCAGGAGACTGGCCACTGACCTTTTCCTGGGGCTCGTGGGCGTTTCCGGATGAATGACCTCTTGTCTTTTCTCATCAGCCTTAACTCGGCTCCAACTCCAGCTTGTGGCAGCGCCAGCCACTTGAAGTCCACGCCGGTGGCCACCCCGTGCACTCCGCGCAGACTGAGCCTGGCCGAGTCCTTCACCAACATCCGGGAGTCCACGACCACCATGAGCACGTCTCTGGGGCTGGTGTGGCTGCTGAAGGAGCGGGGCATCTCTGCGGCCGTGTACGATCCTCAGAGCTGGGACAGGGCCGCCCGGGGCTCCCTCCTGCACTCCTACACTCCGAGGATGGCCGTGATCCCCTCCACCCCCCCCAACTCACCTATGCAGACACCCACGTCCTCCCCGCCCTCCTTTGAGTTCAAGTGCACGAGCCCTCCCTATGACAACTTCCTGGCCTCCAAGCCGGCCAGCTCCATCCTGAGGGAGGTGAGGGAGAAGAAGAATGTCCGGAGCAGTGAGAGCCAGACAGACGTGTCTGTCTCCAACCTCAACCTCGTGGACAAAGTCAGGAGGTTTGGCGTGGCCAAAGTGGTGAACTCAGGGCGAGCCCACGTCCCCACCTTGACTGAGGATCAGGGACCACTCCTCTGCGGGCCCCCGGGCCCGGCCCAGGCCCTCGTCCCCGGAGGCCTGGTCCCTGAGAGCCTGCCTCTCGGATGCCCCACTGTCACCAGCGCCATCGGCGGGCTGCAGCTCAACAGTGGCATCCGGAGGAACCGCAGCTTCCCCACCATGGTGGGGTCCAGCATGCAGATGAAGGCCCCCGTGACTCTCACCTCGGGCATCTTGATGGGTGCTAAGCTCCCCAAACAAACTAGCTTACGGTGAGGATGGGAGGGGGGCCGTTCCCCTGGAGGAGACCCGTCTTACTCCTGCCCCCCCCTTCCCCCTGCACTGCGCGCTCTCCCTCTTTCCTCCTCTGTCCCTCCCCTCTTGAGCTAGACAAATCAACCTCGTGCCTAATGGGGGAAGAGCGGAGACTTTGTAAGTGTGTACATAGGACTCGGAGACCTCGTGTCCACCTGCCCTCTCCCGATCCCACGGGAGGCGCCCCAGCACGGTCACCACTGTCACCAGGACTTCGCCTGTGCTAGCCTGGGGGCAGGGGCAGCCGGGGAGGTCCTTTTCTCCTTCTTTCCTTTGAGAAGCACTGAAACTCCCAAGTGCGTTCTTATCCCATGGATAGGAAACCAGTGAATTTGTGGCTGGCTCCCAGTGCTGTGCATCGTGAGCTGGCACGCGGCCCGGGGCACAGCGCCTCTGCCAGCCGGCGTCGCTGGGCACTTCACCTCGCCCGCCGGTCAGAGCACCGGGGGCCCCCCTCCGCGGCCACACGCAGCTGATGTAGCTTTCAGGAGGCCAGGGCCGCTCTTCCTTCTGGGTGGCCCAGCTTCCTCAAGACCTTCCACCACTCTTGCTTCAATGGAGAGTCGCTGCTTTTTTGAGGTGTGACTTTTTTCTTTCCATGCCTTCGACCCAAATCATCCTTCGATGTTCTGTCGTCAGGCCAAACGTCTGACCTGAAAGAATGTATTCACGCTCCCGCTGCGCCGTGCAGCCATCCCCGTCTGTTGCGTGTGAGGTCCTCTTTTTTTCCTTTTTTTTTTTTTTTTTTTTATACGCAGGGAAGTAATGGTACTAGACGGAAAGTCACAGTCTGTGTTCTCTCTGTGATTCCAGGACACTGAAATGAGTTTCAAACATGCCCAGTCACTAATGAGATTGCAGCAGAGTTTTGGGGCCTGGGGTCACAACCGAATTAAAACCAGACCCCAGACAGTTTTAGCAATAGGATTAAAAGGAAAGGGGCTGGGGGCGAAGGGTGTGGGTGGGATTTGTCAATGGTAGAAGGAAAAAGAACCACCACCAAATGTAATAGCCACCTGGTTCACGGGAGCAACAAGGCTTTGGCATTCTGCTGGTTCCAGTTCTTACTGTGATGTCTGAGGCTGGCCCCTGTGCTCCCACCCATGTGGTCTTCATGCAGACAGTCACTGTCCCCACATCCAGCCCTCCTGTTTCAGGACAGAGTGGTCTCAACAAGATCTTTTCTCCAGCCACCCCACCCCCAAGCCTTGGTCTCTGTGTACCACTGTTTATCCCTAGGAAAAGATAGAGGTGCTTGTGGGAAGAACCATAAAAGAACAAGGGAGCCCAGTCCTGTTGCTGTCACTGACCAAGTTTTGGACTTTTATTTATTTTGTGTGTGTGTGTGTATGTGTGTGTGTGCAAGTGCGTGCACGCCATCTTTTCCACAAACATCCGCTGTCCTTTCCAGTTCTGGTCACAGTGTGTCTGTGGCATGCCACTCCAAGCAGGTAACTTATTTATTCTAACCTGAGGGCTGCACTGCCCGTCACAGTGTTCCATGGTCCTTTGTACAGGCATCTGTGGAAGGGTGACATCATATGCAGATGAAATTGCCACGTTGCCATCCCGTTCCCCTCCCCTGCCCCAACCCCTGTGTCCAGTTGAGTGTAAACACCCCCACTGAAGGGTCTTTGAGAAAGTCTCAAAGGAGCAAGCTTCAGTCCCACAATTTTATTTATTCTCAACACGAGGGTGTTTCAGCTCTCCTCGTGGTTGTATGTGTGCACTCACTGCAAGGAAATTCTTTTTATTTGAATGTATTTTAAAGCAGTAGGTAGAGTAACAAAGGAATATAAAACCACAAACTGAACGGACCACTTTATGTATTCAGAGAGGAGCCACCCATCACCACAAAGGAAATACCAGTGTAAAAATCAGCAATTCGGAGGTTGCAGTATTTAGTATAGTTAATGATCAACCTTGTGCAACCACTACCAACAAAGTGTGTTGTAATGCATCAAAAAACAATAAAATTTTATTCTCTAATGGTTATCAATAAAAGAAGTTCAAACGATGGAAACCACACTGGCATTCTGGCTTGTATTTCATTTTTATCATTTTCATTTATCATTTTTGTCTTTTTCATTTATGTGAGATGTAAAGCTCTTCAGCTCTTCGAAAAGATTAAATGAGAGCCATCTACTTTACGTCCTGTTCCAGCCACCCCTTCTCACACAATGCTATCCCTTAGACAACTGTGCAGTTGCAACCTGAAGAGCTTTCCTACTTTTCAGGCCCGTGTACTGTTCTGCCATGTGCCGACGTGCCCGGGGGAGTACATTCATGCGCCATGGACGAGCACCCTACGGCTGCACACAGAGTTACTTCTGGCCTCTTCTGTCACAGCACTAGAACGAAAAAACATTGCATGCGTGTAACTTTCCATGTGTGTGATGAATTCCTAGATATTACCAAATTGCCCTCCATAGACTTGTGTTAAATCTTTGAGGGCACGTAGGTGGCAGAGCTAAGCATCTGGCTCTTGGTTTCAGCTCAGGCTGTCATCTCAGGGCTGTGGGATCGAGCCCTGAGTCGGGCTCTGTGCTCAGTGCAAAACCTGCTTGGGATTCTCTCTCCCCTCACCCCGTGCCCCTCCTCCCCACTCCTCTGAAATAAAACCCTTAAAAAAATTTTTTTTAAAACAAGGACAGCAGGAGGGTCATCAGAGAATTGAGAGAAAAGGGATAAAATTAATTATGCCACCTCTGTATGTGTAAGCAGTGAAATCATGCAGGCAAATATAGTAGTGGGTGGATTTAAAATCAGTTGCTACCATTTGGTCATGGTGTGGCTTTGGGCAAGCCTCTTACTGTGTTTGGGGCCTCTTAACCTACAGAATGTGAACAGTGATATACCTCAGGGTTAATTCATTAAATTTGTCTTGGATATCCATTGTGTGCCAGGCATTGTTCTAGGTGTAGATTCTAGGTAGTAGGGAACTGAGTAGCTTCTGTTCTTGCAGGGTGTACATACAGCCTGTTACCAAACATGGCCTGACCATGCAGAGAACTATACTCAGGGGTTGTGATGAGTGGATAGCAGTCAGGGAAGGCCTCTCCAGGGAGGTGGCATTTGAGACAACTGTGTGGGATCTGGCACAAGACCATGTGGGCAGAGAGTAGCCAGTGCAAAGGTACGAAGGCTGGAAAAGTGTTTGGTGTGTTTGAGGAGCAGAAAGATGACCCATCTGGCTGGCTGACAAAGGGGAGTGGGTTGTGACAGGGAAGCCAGTGTTCTCACCAAATGGTCCTGCCAATCCCCATGCTTCCCAGCCACCCCGCCTTGAACAAGGCATGCGATTGGCTCTGGCCTGTGGGCTGTGAGCCGAGAGAAATCCATGCAAGACTCTCTATGCCTGTCCTTTCCCCTGAAGCCCATATCGAAATGGTGGTTTGTGTTGGTGCAGCCTCCATCACCTTGGGTTGCCCAAGAACCATGGTGCCCTGACTCCCTGCCAACCTGCATTTTGCATGTGATCTGAAGGAGAAACAAACTTGTTAAGCCAGTGAGATTCTTGGGCAGTGCATCAGAATCCAGTGTAGAGCCCAGGCATCTGTTTTATCAAGTCCTCCTGGTGATTCGGGGGCTAAAGTTTGAGAAGCACTGTGCTGGGTCAGGTGGTGTTGGAGTGGGAGTCTTGCTAAAGGAGGGGAGGGTTTTCCCTCCATAGTTTCCCTGTCCTGGGGTCTTGAGAAGGCCAGACAGCTGTGGCCCACCCTGCTGGAAGGGGAGAGGCAGAATAAGGGGTTTATCTGCCCAACTGGGGCGGGAAAGGCTTTGAGACAAGGTGACTCTGGATCTGGGCTTCAAGAATGGGCAGGATTTGCCCCAAGGGGGAAGGCATTTCAAGCAGAGGTTAAAGACGTAAAGGAGAAATGGGAAAACATCAGAGCATAATTCATTTTTCTAGGCCCTCCCTTACCATACCATGGTAACAGATAAAATACAGAGGAGGCAATAGAGTTAGAAAACCCACATTTTTGCAACCATAAAGCCAATTCATCTTGACAACAACAGACACCAAAACCATTGGGTGAGAGTTTGTTAGGTAACAGGATAGTTACACACCTATTTTCCCATAGAAGGTTAATTTGCAAAGGGGGAAAAGTACCTTTGCAGTGGAGAAACCTGCTATGTACCACTGTCAACAAGTCATTAAATTTAACATTATCCAAATGAGACAAACATAGCAGGTACCTTCCTTATGTGATGTACTGGGAAGGACACACCACTTCTGTGCTGTTCTACCAGAATTGCAACACCTGAATTATGAGGTTGACAAAGGGACTAACCCAAATTAAGAACATGTTCTTTTTTTTTCAAAAATTTTATTTGTTTGAGAGACAGCATGAGCAGGGGAAGGGGCAGAGGGAGATTCAGACTCTCCACTGAGCAGGGACCCCCCCCCACTTCAATGTGGGGCTCCATCCCAGGACTTTGGGATGTGACCTGAGCTGAAGGTAGATGCTTAACCAACTGAGCCACCCAGGCGTCCCAAGGACATTTTCTAAAACAATGTAACTTCCCTTGAAAAATGTCAATGTCATAAAAGACCAAGGAACTGTATCAGAATAAAGGAGAATAAAAAGACAACTAATGCAATTCACGATTCTGAACTGAAAAACATCCTATAAAAGATGGGATAATCAGAGATATTTGAATATTGAATATATTTTAAAGTATATCAATATTAAATTTCATTGAATTTAGTTATGCTGTCACTGTGTAAAAGCTTGTCCTATTTCTTAGGAGGTACTAACTAAAGAATTAAGATAAAGGGGCCTAAAGTCTGTCTGCAAGTATTTTCAGATGTTTTTTCTAAAAAGAAGATGTGAGGCAGGTGCCTGGCTGGCTCAGTTGGTAGAGCATTTGACTCTTAATCTTGGGGTCATGAGCCCCAAGTTGGTCATAGAGCTTAATTAAGAAAAAGATTTGGGACGGGACAAATGCAGGCCTCAGGCAGTTTGAACAGTTTAACTGCAAACATGGATATCAGACCCAATCATACAATTTACATTAACAATATGAATGACAAAATTAAAAAAGAAGAATTGAAGAGATCCCTATATGCCCTGTTTTCTCAGTTTGGCTATGTGGTAGATATTGTAGCTTTAGAGACCATGAAGATGAGAGGGCAAGGCTTTGTTATTTTTAAGGAACTGGGCTCATCCACAAATGCCTTGAGACAGTTACAAGGATTTCCATTTTATGGTAAACCAATGTGAATCCAGTATGCAAAAACAGGTTCGGATATAATATCTAAAATGTGTGGCACTTTTGCTGACAAAGAAAAGAAGAAAGAAAAGAAAAAGGCAAAAACTGTGGAACAGACTGCAACCATTGCAAACAAAAAGCCTGGTCAGGGAATACCAAATGCAGCAAATACCCAAGGAAATTCAACACCAAATCCTAAGGTCTCCGAACTATATTTTATTTCTCAACAATTTACCAGGAGAGACTAATGAGATGATGTCTATGCTGTTTAATCAGTTTCCGGGCTTCAAAGAAGTACATTTGGTACCCGGAAGGCATGACATTGCTTTGTTGAATTTGAAAATGATGGACAGGCTGGAGCTGCCAGGGATGCTTTACAGGGATTTAAAATCACACCGTCCCATGCCATGAAGATCACATATGCCAAAAAATAACATATGGCATAGTTGTCTTTAAAGGACTTGGTGTTATTTAAAGTGTTTGTTCTGATAACATTTGGTCAGGCCATTTTAATAGTTGGGATGCGGGGGAGTGAAAGAGAAATTTTTGTGAATTTTAAAAAATAACCTAGTTTTTGTTTAGCCTTATTGAACTATGAAATATGAAGGCCTCAATTTTGTACAATGGACTTTTATTTGAATTCTATAAAAAAAAATATTTGGTGAGCCTGGGTGGCTCAGTCAGTTAAGTGTCTGACCCTTGGTTTGGGCTCAGGTCATGATCTACTGGTTGTGAGATCAAGCCCTGAGTCAGATTCCATGCTCAGTGTGGAGTCTGCTTTAGATTCTCTCTCTCTCTCTCCCTCCTCTTCCTCCCACCCCCACCCCACTCATATACATGCACTCTCTCTCTCTCAAAATAAATAAAGTCTTTTTAAAAATGCAAGAACAGGAAGCCTTAAAAGGTGGGAAGTACCCTAACACCTTATAAACTATAAGAATAAATGCATTCTTCTGTTTTGTGGCTGTGGCATGTGGCAGGAAGACACTTGGTGGGGTGGCTTGTTTTCTCCTCCCTGTTCTGTGTTAAATTTCTTCATTTATATCCTGAACCCTACCTCCAGCCCAGGTAGCTCAACCAGAAGGCACTGTGGCCCAAGAGGAAGTTGTCAAAGAGGCAGTTGATGGGACCAGGAAACACAGATGTCAAATTCTTGGTATTTTAGATTATGAGTACAGAAAAAGCTGAGTAAATGTTTTAAGATCAAAAGATTCAGGGGGCACCTGGGTGGCTCAGTCAGTTAAGCATCTGCCTTTGGTTCACATCATGATCTCAGGGTCCTGGGATCCAGCGCTATGTTGGGCTCCCTGCTCAGCAGAGAGTCTGCTTCTCTCTCTCCCTCTATCCCTCCTCACCAGCTGTGCTCTCTCTCTCTCTCTCTCTCAAATAAATAAAAACCTTTGAAAAAAAAGATTTGTTATGAAACCTACTGGGCCAGTTTCTCTTTTTACTGCTTATTGACTCTCCACTACCCCGATGGCCCAACAGTTTCTCCAAGCTGGTACATGAAGGAGAGCATTGGAAAGGGCTCTAACCCACAACTAACATGGGGGCGCTTCACCTTCCCTGACCCTGGGCCAACTCTAGAGTCTTAGGAGAAGCCCCCAGAGGAGTCTGAGGATCAAAGTACAGATGAGCTAGTTTCACAGTGGGGGCCAAGAAAGTGAAGATATTCCAGAATACCGTCCCAGCTCCTCACCCCTACTCAGGCAATGACCACACAAAAGTAGAAAGGGCAAGTGGGGCTCCCTAGAGAGATCCCCAGGGGATCCCCAAGTATCCGGCACCAGACAGATAAAGGATTCACTTCT